CTGCTCAGGTCCCCTCCCCAGTGTCACCTGCCTCACCAGCCCGGGCCCTTCCACTTGGCAAGTGCGCACGCCTGTCCCGAGCTAGGAGGCGAGCAGGGCAGCCTGCTGCCCCCGCCCCTCTGCCCATCTGGTGTGTCCTCGCTGAGTGTCGTCAGGCCCGTCCCCTGCGCGTCCCCTGCCTGTGGAACACTGTCTGCTCCGCTCCTGCCCCTCCCGGCAAACCTTGGCTGACCTTGTGCCTGTCTTATGTATGATCACCAAAAAGGGGGTTTAAGGACTCATTTTTTTTTTCTTGGCCATTTTGTAATCGTATGAAAATAATAGGCAAACTGCTTAATGGTTGGGGTTTTTTCACAATTTTCAACATTAGTGATCGTTTTTTCTTTTTTTTTTTTGTTTGCAAGTTTGTCATTGTTTCTTTAAAAAAAAAACAATAATGCACCATATCCCTATGCATAAAGTGCTTCTTCTATTTATAACGTTGAAAATTCTGAATAACCCTTTTAGCATTGTAAAAAACAAAAAGAAAAATTGTATTTTGTAAATATTTTCTTTTCCTGCTTTGAGCTGTGTATTGGCAGCGAAACATGTAGCTGTCTTTGTTCTATAGAAATGCTTTTCTTCAGAGAAGCTGATCTTTGTTAATGTCTTGATTCTGTTCGCAAAGCACAGACTAGTGCTTTAAAAAAAAAAAAAGAAGGAAAAATTGAAAAAAATAATAAAAAAAAAGTTACAGAGTACTGTCTACCAAGGCGTTGCTTGAAGTCAGACTGTCCATAGCTGAGCAGCTCTGAGGCCTCTGGGTCTACCCTGGACTCAGGAAATCTCCACCCAGGGCTCGGAGCACCTGAGGCTGATGACAGTCTCACAGGTGCGGGCCGGGGGGCACAGGAGAGGGCAGGCTTTGTTTTCTGGGGAAAGTCATTGGAAGTCACTGAGTAATTGAATGCCCCTTGATAGTTTTCTTTAGTGATGCCGGCAATGTGATGTTTTACATTCTTGTTTGTTTGGGGGCCATACCTGGCACTGCTCAGGGGACCGCATGGGGTCCTGGGGATTGAACCCGGGTCAGCCACATGCAAGGCAAGCGCCTTAACCCCTGTGCTATCGCTCCTGCCTGCTGATTTTTTTCTTTTTTTTGATGATTTGTTTTACTATCAACTATTTCTGAGGGGTTTTGGTCAGTGAGAAACCATCTTAATACTTTTCACTCTTCATGGAGCCAAAGTTGGTTCGCACCTACTTGATGGGAACCAGAGCCTCTTCTAAGAGGTCAGCTTGATTTTCTCTGTACAAGATGAATAAATAAATGGGCTAGCCTGGCTCTTTTTTTTTCTTTTTTTTAGGGGGGTGGGGCAGGAATAGAAGCACCAACAAGGAAATTCTCTGAAACCCCTGAGATTTCTCCCCTTCCCCTCCAAGTCTGCCAGCCTGTCACTCTGTCTCTGTTCCCTAGTTGCCGCTGAGATCTGGCCTGTCCGTTTCTGCTTGCATACAGTGGAATGCGCTGGGAAAAGTATCTTAAAACTCTGAAAATCTAAAGATTTGTGATCTCCCTAAGCCTAAGTACTAAGCATTCGAAGGTTTTTGTTTTTTCTTTTGTGGCATTCCTGGGGCCTGCTGGGTGTGCCCACCCCTTGATTTCTGAGACATTCCCTGGTCTGGTAAAGCTGTGAGGAGAGGAATCAGCCATCCCTTGAGCTGACTGGCCAATACTCGGCTTCAGCCTCAGGCCCCGATGCTGAATCACTGAATCCCACGCACCCACCCCTGCCCCGGCCTTCTTGGGTTTGGACACACTGGTCAGGTCTTAACGTGACTTCACTTGCCAAAGCTGAACTGAGGTGATTTGCCGGCCCCGGAGTGAGAGAGACCGAGATTGAAGAAGCTTTAGAATTGCTTTTACCTTCAGGGCCCGGAAAGCTGGTCGACTCTTTACGTCTAGGTTCTGAGACAAGTTCCCTAACGCTGGGGGAGGGCGTGCAACCCACACATCCGTGTCTTGCTTTCCTGACCTTCAAACCCATGCACAGAGACCGCATTTTAATCAGTAATAACTTTATTTCCAAATTCACTTCAACAGCAACAGTCCGTGTAAATCATTTGTTAAAACACACAGTACATCATATGGACATTCACAGACAGGAAGCTAAGCTAAGATGATTTCATGTCCCTCCCCCCACCCTCAAATTTACCCAAGAAATTCATGGGACTTGCAAGTGCCAGATATTGTCCTGCCCAACACTGCAAATTCGCGGGGCTAAGTTGATTCGGAGATGAAACGGGGCCAGTGGCCAGGGGTAACCCTTCTCAAGGTTGAAGAGAACTCAGAAGTCTCATGAAGCTACACGTGTGTAGGTGGGACAAGCTGTCAGGCTCTCGCCCCTGCCCTCATCCCCATGGCTTGGCTTGGCTTGGAGGCTGCTAGAGAGATCTCGGCGAGTGCTGGAAACCTGGGTCAGTGGGTGCCGGCAGCTCAGAGGAGGGAGTCCCAGGGTCTTTGGCGGGCATGATCAGAGAGCTCCCACGAGGCGAGAGGGCTGGGACCACCCCAGAACCTGCCTGCCCCGTGTGCTCTTGGCCAGGAAGGGGTTGGAGATGTGCTGCCACCGGCTGCAATGACATGCATGTTGGGAAGACCAAACCCAGGGCCTCTAGTGAAGGTGGCTGCCGTCATGAAGAAAAGGGTTCCAGGCTTACTCGCTACTGCGCTCCAAGACCTGGCGTTGCCCATGGTCCTATCTTATAGGTTCCTCCCCCCACCCCCTATAGTACAACAAGCAAACAGGACACAGTCTCACCACTGAAGTCAGTTGACAGGAACTGAGTCGAGGAGGGGCTGGAAGGAGCCAGGTGGATAATGCACCCTCCTTTGGCCACCCGTGGGACACTGGCTCTGGGGTGCTGGGCAGGAGGCTGGGGCCTGTCCCCATCTTAGGTCTCAGGCCAGCACCCTTTTAAAAGGTCTCTGCCAGTCCCGACCTGCTCCCTCAAGCCATGGTCTTTGGGCTCGGCTCCCATCTCCTCCTCAAGGGCACTGAGATTTCAGAAGCCACAGCCTCACAGCTGTGCAGAAGAGGGAGGGGCACAGCAGAGCAGCAGAGCGGGGCTGCCCAATCCCAAGTCACACCCTCCTATTGTCCCTAGAATCCTCGGAACAGCTGGGGCTGGGGACAGTGGGCAGCCTGGCAGGAAGAGTTGTGGGTTCAGCAGCCCTGGGTGGTCAGTGAATCCTGAGCCACGAGGGGGTTGACCCATTGACCCACACCCCATGGCTACTTTCTAGTTCCCCAAGGGGCTTTCAGCTGCGCCCGAATCCCAGGAGTGGCAGATCACGTGGCATCCTTAACACAGCACGTTTCTGCAAAGGAGATTCCCTTTCAGGGGTTGGGGAGGCATCTCCTGCCAAGGCTCTGGGAACCCACAGTGGGCTGAGTCCTTGATGGAGGAGCGGGGAGGGCGTGGTGGCCTTTCGAGAAGCTGGGAGAGGGGCAGGCTGCTGCTAGGCCCTGGGGTGCTACAGACCACAGGGTGGACACCCTCAGGGCTTCTGGGGTTTTTCCAGGTGGACCTCGGAGAGGACCGACACCTACCCGCCAGGGCGGGTGCGCCAGCGATTCTGCCCTAGTCCTGTGCTTTGGGCCTTAGCAGCTGAGCCTTCTCAGGTGTCAGAATCTGGTCTCTGTTGGGGTCCTGGATGCTGAACCTTTCAAAGACCAAGACCCCAATGTTCAGTGCCCTGTGGGCCTCCTGGAACTGAGGCCCGCGTGGGGGTGAGACGAGGAGCCTGCGAGTGGGTGAGAAACCCCTTTAATAAGCATTTCGAGACACATGCGTCCTTTTTTTTTTCTTTTCACTATCATAGTCACTGGTGACTCCAAGCATAAACAGACAGATCCAACTACAACGTGACGGGGGCAGGGGGAGGGGGGGTCGACATCTATGTATATGGTCAGCTGCTCCTACAGGACAGAGCACTGCTGGGGCTCGGGGGAGAACCATTTCCAAAGGGTCTTTGTTCCTCTTTTGGGGTGTGGAGGGCCAGTTCCATGCACTTGGGCTGCGGCAGGGCTCCCCGAGAGAGGCTGGCAGTCAAGCCGGGGGGAGGGGCATGGGGACAGGGAGTATGGCCTGTCCATCGTGGTGCAGATGCCCGACCTGCTGCCAGCCTAGCACGGGGAGGGGACCAGACCTGGGAGGAACAGCTCGGGGGTCCCTACTGGGCCTCACCCAGGGCCCCATTTGACGGGTGGGGGAGGGGCAGGCCTGAGGAGGTCCTGGGGGGGTTGTGAGGAGCAGCCCAGTTGGGGAAGTGACAGAGACCGCCCATCTGGTGCTGGAGGCGGCCCCTCCATTGAGTCCCCCCAGGTTTCCAGCAGCATCCGCCCCTGAGAAGGGCATGGGGAAGCCAGGGACAGGGACAGTGACGTGATGGGGAACAGGCAGTGACTGGGCTCTGCACAGCAGACACGGGCGTGGGGGGCACATGGGTGGCCGTGGTGGCCAGGAGGGGGGCTGGAGGCTCAGGACCCCCTTCCAGGCGCGCCAGAGGCCCAGGCTGGGGAACAAGCGGGTGTCCCAAGAGGCACAGGTCCTTACAGAGAGAACTGGTTAGCCCTAAAGTCCCAGATCCGTGAGGTGGCCAGAATCGTGGCTGCGGCTCCGGCCTTCGGACACGATGACGCGGGGTCTCCGTGGGGCGGGCCCTTCCGGGAGGGAGGGGCCACACACCTTGGACACAAGGTCAGTCTCTGGGCAGTGACGCACAGGCGCCATGCCCCATCCTGTCCCCTGAGCCTGCGGCAGCAGCAGGCCCCCAGACTGCCACCAGCAAGAGGCCACGCAGTTGTCCAGCTGGCCTTGTGGGTGGGGGGCGACACTTCCTGCCCCGCCCCGCGTGCTCTGCACCCCTCCCCTCCTCCGCCCCAGCCTGTTCCTGTCCCCTCCAGAACCCTGCTCACACACGGTGGACAGTGCCTGGTTCTAGCAATCCCTCTCTAGACACCCCCCCGCAGAAAAAGGGTAAAGAAAAGTCCCTTCAAGTCCCCCAGAAGCAGCCTTCAGAGCCTCTCCTTCGCCCTCTTCTCCTCAAAGGGGGGAAAAGAATCCAAAGTGAGCGCCCGGGGAAAAGGGGGGGGGTGGCCGGCTTGTTCCATGTTTTTTAAAAATATTTTATTCTGTTGAGCCCACCCGTCAATTTGGAGAGATGAAATTTGCTCTTATTCCCGTCACTGATTTTGAAGTCCCGAGCCAAAGCCGAGCGACAAAAGCAGGTTAAGTGACTGACCGATGACCAGATCTGAGCGGAGCAGCTGAGGGGGGCGAGGGCGAGGGCCGGGGCGTCATCCTCTCCTTCCCACTCTCTCTGCGTGGTCGCGGCCGCCCGCGTGTCCCATCACAAGCCCTGCTTGGCCAGGGAGGCGGACACCTCGTCGGCGAGCGTGGCGAGCTGGGCCGAGTCTGCCATGTCGATGCTGCCCGTGGACGACACGTTGCTCAGGTGGCGCGGGGACGTGTCCCCCGACACCACGGGCGACTTGTACACGATCTCGGCCCCGTGGTCGGTCTTGGCTTTGGCGTTCTCTCGGAAAGTCAGCTTGTGGGTCTCGATCTGCAGGAGGCCGGGCGGTGGGTAAGAGGGTAGAAGCCAGGGAGAGGGAAGGGGACGTCCCTGTCGACTGCCTGCCGGGGTACAGGGGTGGCGTGCAGGGTCCTCTCGTCCCTCAATCCTAGCCTCCCACTTCCTTCCGGGGACCAGGCAGCGCTGCAGTTTCCTGTATTTCCCGGGTGCAGGAGCAGTGCCCACATGCTGCCTGCAAACAGCTGCGCAGACCTGCCACGTGGCTCCCCCGTGCTTGAAGGTACGTCCACCAGAGGTGGCCCTGGGCACCTCCACCCACAGGTGAGAGTACACCTGACAGGGCCTAATGGCACACTGAATGAAGCACTACAGGAATGGCTGATGACTGAGGGGCCACAGCCGGGGCCGCAGCCGACCTTTTGCAGTGACCGGGCTGCAACACCAGCATGTTCACTTGTCTGCCTGTACAACAGCGGGTGCTTCTTTTTTTTTTTTTTGCTTTTCTCTTTGCTTTTTGGGTCACACCCGGCAATGCTCAGGGTTTACTCCTGACTCTGAACTCAGGAATTACTCCTGGTGGTGCTCAGGGGACCATATGGGATGCTGGGAATCGAACCCGGGTCGGCCGCGTGCAAGGCAAATGTCCTTCCCGCTGTGCAATCACTCCAGCCCCAGCGTGTGCTTCTTGTTTCGAGCACAGCGAAGGAGGGGCTGGCCCTGCATGTGGCCAACCTTGGTTTGCTTCCCGGCACCCTGAGGGGGCTCCCGAGCTCCAGGTGTGACCTCTGAGCACAGAGCCAGGATTAAACCCTGAGCACAGCTGCCTGTGGCACCAGAAAAGAAAAAGAAAAGCATTTCTTTGTGCAGACAATGAGCATGCAGCCACAAGTCCCCAACGGGGTGCCAAGGAGCCCGGCAGCTCTGCCCTCCCACAGTGCCAGGGCTAAGCGAGGACACGGCCAGACTCGGCCTTTCCTGCATCCCGCGGGCAGCGGGCACACGTGGGCCCTCCCCAGACCGTGACAAAATTTCCATCCCAGTGCGGTGGTCCCTGCTCTGCAGGCGAAGGACATGTCAGTGTGAGGAAAACCAGGCACCCACGGTGGCTATGGACTGACTTTCTTCATGTGGGATTTTTGCTGTAGGTTTTTTTTTTCCCAACTTGGGTTTTGTTCTTTTTTTAAATTTTTATCTGTTGTTGGGGATAGAACCAAGTTAGCCAAATGTGAGGCAAGTGCCTTACCTACTGTGCTATCTCTCTGGCCTTGATTTTGTTTATTTGGGGTCATTGCTTTAAAAAACAATCAGCGTGATGCAAGCTTTAATAAGAAGACTGAGACGAATGCTTTGAAAAGCTCTGTTCTTTTTCCTTTCTTCTCGGCACCCCATTTGATCCCTCAACACTGCCAAGCTCAGTCCCAGATAGAGTCCCTGCGCGCCACCAAGTATGCCCCAGCTCCCTGCACCCCCCTCCCCCAAAGAAAAAATATTACAGCATTTAGAAATATCCCCAATCCCCTCAAAGGGAATGAGCTCAAGTGGCTGGACTGTGGGTGTCAGGGGGTGCCCGTGTGCAGCTGAGGCCCCTGGGAACCCCCTAACTCACCCCTTCTGGGCCCGCCCTGCTCCCTCCAGCCACTCCCCAGACTGGGAAAGAATCCAGCAGGCCACCCCACGAACTTCACACCAGGGAGAGACAGAGTGCCCTGGGCAGGGCCACACCCCCCAGACTGCCCCTTTGTCCCTACCAACACGTCCTGACACCCAGGCCTCCTGGGAACCCACAGCACGTCACACTTTGGACGCCTGAAAAAAGCCAGGGAGGTGCCCATGGCTTGTTGGGTCATTTGGGCTGGCACAGGCCAGATACTCAGCAGCACTGAGGGCTGACTCCTGGCTCTGCACTCAGGAATCGCTCCTGGCATGGCTCAGGGACCATAGAGGGTGCCCGGGACTGAACCCAGGCCTGCCGCATGAAAGGCAAATGCCCCACCTGCTGGACTCTCTCCCTGGCCCTATTATTCCTGCCTTTGTAGTCACTCCTGACAGTACTCAAGGGTCAATCCTGGCTGTGCTCAGAGATCACTCCTGGCTCTGTGCTCAAGGATCACTCCTGGTGGTGCTCAGGGATCACTCCTGGTGGTGCTCAGGGATCACTCCTGGCTCTGTGCTCAGGGATCACTCCTGGCTGTGCTCAAGGGATCACTCCTGGCTGTGCTCAGGGATCAGTCCTGGTGGTGCTCAGGGATCACTCCTGGTGGTGCTCAGGAATCACTCCTGGTAGTGCTCAGGGATCATTCTTGGTGGTGCCCGGGATGAAACTCAGGTCGGCTGCTTACCAGGATTCACCTTCCCCACTGTCCTCTCTCCAGCCCAGGGTATGGGCGTGGGGGAGGGAGGCTCCATGGGGGCTGGCAACCATAGTTCTCCCTAGGTCTGCAATACTGGTCATTTGAGGACTTGAAACATCCGGGCCATCCCCGAGCCCCGGGACTCCGGACTCCAGCTGGTCCACATCAAAAGCGTGAGGGCCCCAGGTCACCACAGCAACAGCAGCAGCCCAGTTCTGGGAATATTTCCCCGGGCCTTGGTTTCCTTCCTGGGGCCCTAGGGTCAGACCCGTCCACCCGAGGCTCCCAGGCCACCGCCCTTGCCCCGTTCACCTTTTTATTTCCTCCACCGGGGACGTGTGTGATGTTGTCGAGGGAGCCAATCTTGGACTGCACTCTGTCCTTGAAGTCCAGCTTCTCAGATTTCACTTCTACCTGGCCGCCCCCTGGAACCCAACACACACCAGAGCCCTGAGATTCTTTTCCACTCTGGGGTGTGGGTGGGGCGGGGACCGCACCCAGAGCTGCTCGGGGACTGTTCCTGGCTCTGCTTAGGAGTTACCCCTGGTGACTCTCAGGATCACGCAGTTCCGGGGCTAGAACCCAGACCCATGCCTTTCCCTCTGGGCTGTCTGGTCCAGCACCCAGCAGTGAAGCAGGTGGGCCGGGCCTGGGATCCCCAAAGGAAAATGGCAGTGCTGCGTGGGAGCAAATCTACACTCCGTGGGGCGCCATCCAAGGAGGGACGTGGGTCCTGTGGGTCCTCAAACGTGCAGCAGAGCCGCTCGCCCTCTCCGGCCTCACACTCGCTGTGCTGGGCCAGGCACGGCAGATACTGGCCAAGGCAGGCCGAATGGGGCGGAGGGGCTGCCCATCATGCTCCGGGAAATGGGGCTCGCCCCGAGTCCATGGAGCGGAGGAGCGCGCTCTGGACCACCCTTCCCCAACCCCATCCCAAAGGAGGCCTGACCATGACCCCCGGCAGGAAGGATGCATCTGCATTGGGGCGGTGACTGCCCGGCCTGGGCTACCCGTCCCCAACATGGGACTTGCCAACTTCCTTCGCCCAGGCAGGTTTCATGCACTTAGTGGCCCCACGCTGGACAGTGAGTCCTGTACAGACCAGTATGGCCACAGCAGGAAGACCTGCAGATCTACACAGATTCTACAGACCAGGGGTGGGGACGAGAGAGCATGTAGGGTAGGAACACACATGGAAGTCCCAGAGGTGTTTTCTTTTGAAACCAAGCAGGTTCCCAGGGAAACCCACATAACTTGCCTCCCAGGGCGAGACCAAGCCTTCACTGGTTCTGGGATACAGCTGGTGGGGACCGCAGATGAGGGGACTGACCGGTAGTCAGCACCCACTTCCCTCCTCCTTCACCTTGACCCACTCAGCCCCGCTCCCTCCCGGCACCCTGGTTCCCCCGCCCCATGAGTGCTCCAGATGGCCACACCCTGCATCCCCTGGCAGACCGCCCCCCACCCACTCCCAGGGGGCTACCTGGCTTATGATGGATGTTGCCCAGCGAGCCGCACTTGGAGGTCACCTTGCTCAGGTCCACGGGCTTGTAGACTATTTGCACCTGCAAGAGAGAAAGGATGAACAAAGAGCAAGACCGAAAGGGGTGATGCTCGGGGGGGGTGTGGAGGAACACTGCCCCCTCACCGGGACCCCCTCTCCAGCCACACCCGGGACATGGCCCGGGACAGGACCGTGCCACCAGCTCAGCAACACACACAACGACAGGTTATTCCTGACGAACAGGGCCGAGCAGGAGGAGGCTGCAGGGGAGAGGCAGAGCGGGGCCTCCAGGAGGAGAGGGGTGCTCAGGCCGCAGCAGCAACACCCCAGCGGTCAGGACCCCATGGGCAAGCACTGACTCCAGGCACATGGGCCCAGGGCCCTGTGGGTCAGGGGGCACAGTGGGGACTTGGCCAGCCCCGCTGCCCACTGCCCCTGCCCCTCGGCCCGCAGCCATTCGTCTCCACTCCCTGAGAGAGCGCCCCTTGAGGCCCCGTGTTGGTGCACAGGCTCCCGCGGGTGAGTCTCCACCAAGCTGTGGCTGGGCAGGGGGGACCCCAGGTCGGAGACAAATACTCTGCCCCCCGCTCTACCCCCGCCCTGCCCCCGGTGGAGAGCTGAGGCGTGGGGAACCACCTCCCCGCCTGTCCGCAGCAAGGGCGTACGGAGAAGGACAGTCTCCACTTTGGATGAACCATCTGGAACATTCCCAAATCCGGTGAGCTCAAGGCCATGTTGGCCTGAGTTGTGTCCTGCACGGCAGAGGTCAGTGGTCACGGAGAAGGGGTGACCCCTCTGCCCGGTGGCAGGTAAGGGCAGGCTCTGGAGCAGGTCTCGGGGGGTACGCTCTGGGGCCGGGGAACCCCTTTCAGCATGAGGGGGTTCTGGGGGCACCTTGATGGCCTGGACTCGCTTCTCCTCCTGGAGGCCAAGGTGAGACACAGGGGCGGAGGGTGGGGGGCCTGGGGAGGCCAGGAGGGAGCCCCACATTGCCAGGAGGCGGGGTAAGCCCAAGACGGGAGGAGCAGGGTCACTCTGCAGGGGGGAGGGTCCAGCAGGAGAGGAGGGGGCAGCGCTGAAAACATGAGGGAGGCTGCTGAGTTTTCTGCAAGGCTCCCTCCACAGACCTGCAGCGACCATGGGGACCAGGCCATGGACTGGAGCAGGACAGTGGAGGTGGCCCTGCACCTCTCTTGGGGCGGGCTTCACACTCTCCCTGGCTCTCCTCAGGCCCATCCCAAGCTCCCTGACCCACAGGCACGCTGTCGCCCACCCCCCAGCCCAGGTTTGCAGCTGAAGCCAGAGATCCAAGAGGCAGACAGGAAGGAGCAGGACACCCACCTCCTCAGCCCTGCTCTCAGCAAAGCCAAGGTGGCAGAGGGGACACGGAGGACTTCGGCAGACACTGCAGGGAAAGCCATTGGGAGTGCCATGCAGCAGCTGCGCGGCCTAGCACCCCGCCCGTGAGCGGGGGAGGTGCACATTGCAAGAATAAACCCAGGCTGGCCCGTCTGGGCACCAGCGCTCCAGCCAGCAGAGACTCGGTTCCCAGAGCTCAGTCCCTGCAGCAGGGGACCAGCTCCGAGCTCCAGGGAGGCTGCGGGGAGCACACTGGGGCAGGGACCGGGGCGGCAGGGGACGGAGCCTGGTACCCCTCAGCGCCAGGGTGTGGGGCTGCCGACCTCAGTGGTTTATTCCGTGCAATGCCGGCGGGTGCAGGGGACGTGTGAAGGTACTCACACTGCCGCCTCCTGGCACGTGTTTGATATTATCCTTTGAGCCACACTTGGACTGGACGTTGCTAAGATCCAGCTTCTTATTAATTATCTGCACCTTTGATAGCCAGAAAAAAGGGTGAGTGACGGACGCACCCCAGCCGTACCCGCCCCGCGCGGCACCTGCGCTGAGGGGCCCCCTGCTGCCTGGCCGGCTCTGCGGGCTCTGACAACCGCTGGTCTCTGGGACCATGGCTGAAAAGACACCAAGGGATGTTAGAAACGACAAATCCAGGTGCCCCCCTTCCATGGAGAGCCTTGTCTCATAGCAGCAGGGTGGTGCCGCCCCCTGTTCCAAATCCAGGGGCCCAAGGACACAGCAAAAGAGGGGGTGTCTCGTCTTCTCTCTGTTCCTCCTTGACACCAAGACCCGGAGGGTAGCAGTTCTGCTGCATCTCTGGAAGGTTCTTTCTCCAGCCAGCAGGGAGAAGGGTGGGGATCTAGGAGTCACTGTACGCAAGAGATTTTACCCACTTTGCCTCAAAACTATGAAATACAAGCACCAGCAGGATGCAGGGGAAACGGGATGCTTTGACTTCTAGCTCAGTGGTGACATCATCTCGGGACAGGAAGTAAGAGATTCACTGTACTTTGTGCTACCAGGATAAGGACATCTGAGAATAATGAACAGGATCTGCTAATACGGCAATGACAGTTTGATAGGCGATGACGCAAGCCCTCTTGGTTCTTGCACCAGCAACTCCACTTGCAAGCAAGGAGACCGTTTCCACTGATCGCAAATACCAGTAACAGTCAGCCAAGTTCCCCCGTGCGGCTCCCAGACCGTCCTGCCTTTCCAGGGAGGAGTGACGCAGAGCGCAGGCGGCCTGGACGGCGAGGAGGTGAGCCTGCCCTGGCTCATCAAGGGATTAGGGGTCTGATCTAAACCTCAAACTCCTGACAGTCAGAACTGACCGCAGGGGATGAGGACTTTGCATGATAGTGAGATGTGTAAGCTTATTCATTTCTGCCTGTTTTCTTGTTTTATTTTTTGGTGCCTATATATTTTAAATCTTTTATTGAATTATTATTATCCCTCTGTCCCACTGTCCTCATGTTGTTCATCGATTTGCTCAAGCGGGCCCAGTAATGTCTCCATTGTGAGACTTGTTACTGTGTTTGGCATATCGAATACATCACAGGGAACTTTCCAGGCTTTGCAATGAGGGTGAGATACTCTCAGTAGCATGCTGGGCTCTCTGAGAGGGGTGGAGGAATCGAACCCGGGTCAGCTGGGTTGATTGCGTGCAAGACAGACGCCCTACCCACTGTGCTATCGCTCCAGCCCGAACTGTTATTAAATTACATTAATAGTAATGTTTATTGTTCTTATTTGGGGTTCTTGTTTTGGGCCCTCACCCGGCAGTGCTCAGGGCCTACTCCTGGCGATGTGCTCAGGAATCACCCCTGGTAGGCTCAGGGAACCATTGGGGTGCTGGGGATTAAATCCAGGTTGCTGCCTGCAAGGCAATTGCCCTACCTGCTATACTATTGCTCCAGCCTTTTTTTTTTTCTTTTTTCTGGCTTCTTGGGTCACAGCTGGCAGTGCTCAGGGGTTACTCCTGGTTCTGCACTCAGGAAATACTCTTGGCAATGCTCGGGGGATCATTTGGGATGCTGGGGATTGAACCCGGGTGGGCTGTGTACAAGGCAAATACTCTGCCCGCTGAACTATCACTCTGCCTCCTTCAGCTCAATTTCACACTCGTCTTTAATCCAGTGACGTTTCCTAAGCACTGACCACGCTCTGCAGTCAGCAGAAAGATTCTGTTCAATAATGTCATAGGGTGGGGGAGACAGCTCCAGGCTTCTGAGGAAGACCATGAGTTTGATCCCCCTCCTCTTGTGGTGCCTCAAGCACTGTGTGATCTAAAAACCCAATAATCTGTCATATTTCATTTGGTTTTTGTGCTATCAAGTATTTACGTTGACTATTTTATTAATTTTTTTGGCTTGGGGGACATACCTGGGGTGCTCCAGAGCTATTTCCATCTCAGTGCTCAGAGAACAAAAGTGATGCTGGGGACCAAAACCAGGCCTCCCACATGCAGAGCACGTGCTCTTGCCCTGTGAGCTCTCTCCCTGGCCCCACATTGTTTCCATCAAAAAATTGTTACTGGGGGGGGGGGGCTGGAGCAATAGCACAGTGGGTAGGGCATTTGCCTTGCACGTGGCCAACCTGAGTTCGATTCCCAGTATCCCATATGGTATCCCGTGCACTGCCAGGAGAAATTTCTGAGTGCTTGAGCCAGGAATAACCCCTGTGCATTGCCAGGAGTGACCCCAAAAGAGAAAAAAAATTAAAATAAAATTATTATTGGGGGCTGGACCTATAGTACAGCAGGTAGGGCATTTTCCTTGCACACGGCTGACCTGGGTTCAATCCCTGCATCCCATATGGTCCCCTGAGCACTGACAGGAGTAATTCCTGAGTGCAGAGCCAGGAGTAATCCTTTAGCATCGCTGGGTGTCACCCCAAAAGCAAAATAATAATAATAATTTTTTAATTAAAATTTTTGGGCCATACCCAGTGGAACTCAGGGCTTACTCCTGGCTCTGTGCTCAGGGATCACTCACTCCTGGAGTCGCTCAGGGACCATAAGGGATTCTGGGGATCGAACCCAGGTCAGCCACATGCAAGGCAAGTGTCTTCCCCTCCGTGCTATCGCTCTAGCCCCTCTAATTTTATATTTTTGTTTGTTTGTTTGTTTGCTTTTTGGGTCACACCCAGCAATGCACAGGGGTTACTCCTCCTGGCTCTGCACTCAGGAATTACTCCTGGCGGTGCTCAGGGGACCATATGGGATGCTGGAAATCAAACCCGGGTTGGCCACATGCAAGGCAAATGCCCCATCCACTGTGCTATCGCTCCAGCGCCTTTACTTTCATTTTTAATAAACAACTTCACTGACGGTATGGAGTTTTCCCTATTGTGGATTACTTCCACAGCCTAGAAAACAAGAGTTCCAGAAGTAGAATTTCTGGATGAAATTCCACTCTTCAGCGGGCCAGTGGCTTCTGTTTCATCTATCCATGGGCGAGGGCGAGCTCGCAGCTAGGAAAGTGCTCCCACCCGCTGCCCTGTGGTACAAATGAACCAGCAGGGCTACGGCCAGGCTGCTCGGCGACTGTACAACGCTCTCCTCTGCCCCCTGCAGGCAGCTGGGTGTATTAGTGGGGAAACATAAAACAAAACAATTCCTATATATGCTCAAATTCTTTGCAATTTCTTCTCTGATTTGCTTTCTTTTTCAGTTTATTTTTAAGGGGGGTCATCAAATCCAGGGCTTGCTCCTAATTATGCACTCAGGGATCACTCCTGACAGTGTTTCGAAAACCCTGTATGGTATTAGGAATCAAACTTGGGTCAACCATGTGCAAGGCAAGTACATTCCCCTCTGTACTGGGGCCCTCTTCTGTGATGTTCAAAATTAAGACCATCCTTCCCAAAAGGCCAGGTGAGTTACAAATTCCACATTGGTGCCAACCCCTTGTTTCCCCTCAGAAAGCCCAGACACTCATACCCTCTCAGCCAATGGAATGGCAGATGCTTCACCAGAGCCAGAGAGAGAGAGAGAGAGAGAGAGAGAGAGAGAGAGAGAGAGAGAGAGAGAGAGAGAGAGAGAGAAAGAGAGAGAGAAGCAGGTAGCGTGGTGGCCTTACAAAAGGCTGATCCAAATTCAGACCCTGGCACTCCACACAGTCACCTGACCTGAATGCAGAGTCAGGAGTAAGCCCTGAGATTAACTGGGCCTGGCTCCTTGTCCAAAAACCAAAAAGAATCCAGAATGATCTTTCACCAGTTTCCACTGACCAGTTTCCCCATCCTGGGGATGGTTGCCCCTAAACCACTGGGAACAACGGTTTCTCCAGCATGCCTGGAGACTCCTTCCCCACCTGCTCCATTCCACTGGGTTCTCTGAGCCAGCCCCCTCCCACACCCTTCCCCCCGCCCCCACCTCCACGCACATATTTGGGAATCCCACATGAACTCCTTTGGGGATCTTATTTTATTAGAAACTTTCCACTGGAGTAAGTCCGAGGAGCGGAACTGCCATCGCAGCGGGACCTGAGCAGCTCCCCGAATGTGCCCGCACACAGGACCCCAAACATGAAGGGTGATGGTGAAAGAGTGAGGCCAGGGGAGTGGGGCTCGGAAACGAATCGGGACCCTCAATTCCACAACTCCTGGAAGCACTCCGTGCCCACAATTGCGCCTCTTTGAGCAAGAAAACTCACCAGCTTTCCCAAAGACAGTCTGTTTTCTGTACCAATTGCCCCAGAAATCCATCGAATTAAGAGCCACTCGTTAAACAATAATGAGATTTGCAACAGAACAGGAATGCTTTTTTCCATGTGCTTTCCTATTACCATCCCACTTGAAAGAAAAGGCAGTAAGCTCTGTGGGGCTGAGAGCAAGCCCGCGTGCACTTCCAAAGCAGAGCGAGTTAATGCTGGCCAGATCAAGTCAAACCCCTGTAGGGAATGCCAGATTCGCAGAAAAGAGAAGAAAGGGTCATGGTTGGAATTGTGAAACTGAGTCCTAGAACGACCCTGCAGGCAGAGGGAAGGGGGTGAATGGTAGCGAGAGACATCCTGGAAAAGACACTGGAAACACCCGTCAAAGGGCAGTTCTGGGGACTCCAAGTGGGAGGAATCCCTGAGGCTGGCCCCTGGAGGGCAGCAGTGGGGCCCAGGGGACTCATCCCTCTTTCTGGTTCCCTTTGGGCTCAGTTCTTTGGTGGTGCTCCAGGCCACCAGCCTGTCTGGGGCTTTCCCAGCTCGGCCTCGCTCCCTCACCAGGGTGACAGGCCCTGCGCTGAGGCCGGGGACTGGGATGCTCCTGGATGGGTTCTGAACCCCCACAGCAAGCTCGCATCAGGCCGAGGGACGGGGGCCTCCTCCAGCCACTGTCATCCTTAATCTAAATCGCGACCCCTCTAAGTCCCTCCAAATTCTTCCTGTTGACACCAAACCTTTCAGAAGTGCAAACGCAGTGCCTAGGGAGAGAAACCCAGAAGGTCTCAGGGACAAGAATGTCCCTGGAAACTGTGACACCTTCCACACACTGTGGACCCAGGGCCCGAGTCCCTGCTCTGATCTAGGAGAAGCCAAAAGCCCTAAGGACAAATTCACTTTATTCGCATTGCATACGTGATCTATACTTGGGACTTTGTTTTGCGGGCTTTTTTTTTTTGGTCACCCCAGGGAGTGCTTATTAATTACTCCCAGCTCTGTGTTCAGAAGGGATTCTGGTGGTGCTCAGGGAAACCATATATGGTGCCGGATATTGAACTCAGATCAGTCGCATGGGAGGCAAGTGCTTTAACCCCTGTACTATCTCTTTGGTCCCAACACAGAGGATTTTTAAAGCGACATCTGGGCCTTTGCTAAGGCAGCATAAGTCATTCAAGCACTTCTTTCCCCCCAGAATGGAGACGGACGTTCACAGCGTCCCTTCGCCACCTGCTGGCCACTCATTTCACTGCAGCTCATTTCACTAGCGTTGAAGGCAACTGGGGGGGGGGGGGGGGGCAATTTTTGCTGTCCTTTTGAAGGTAGGAAGGGAATTGGGATACAATCCAGCCACACCTGGGGGCTCCCCCGCTGTGTTCAGGAGCCACTACTGACAGTGCTCTAAGGACGATGCAGTGCGATCAAATCCTGGGTCAGCCACGTGCCAGACAACTGCCTTAACCCCTACACTGATGCAGGCCCGTCAGACTTGCTGACCTGGGGGGGTGGGACCCCATACACAAGTGAGCCTTGGAGTGTGGGGGAATCCTGAAGGCAGAGCCCCCAACATGGCTGGAGGTGCTCTGGCACAAGGACTTTTTTTATTTTGGGCCCCACCTGGTGGTAAAGGGATTGGGGGCGGCTCCCAGTTGAATGCTGGGGCCAGAGGATGGGTCTGAGGCCTCCCGTAAGCAAAGCACTCAGGGCCATATGCAAGGCCGCTCTGAGGGCTCCGCCTCTTCCAGATGCAGTGACCCCAAGAGATCGACAGCCATGGCCAAGGGAGTGTCAGGGTCTCCTTGGGGCTGAGTGATAGTACAGCAAGGAAGGTGCTGCCTTGCGCAAAGCTGAACCGGTTTTGATCCCCGGCATCTCATGTGGTCCCCCAAGCACTGCTGGGAGTGACTGCACAAAAGGACCTAAGCACACCTAAGTGTGGCCAACCCTCCCCATATACAAATATATAAGTACATAATAACAATGTTTCCTTCTGACTCCTGGAGCAAGAGGGGCTCACTGCAGAAGTCAGCCACTGGTCCACACTCTGCTCAGCCTGTGGTTTGTGTCCCGAGGGTGCAGGTTTGTGCTTAGGGCATTGATTTAATCCCTAGAGCCAGGGTTGGATTCTTGGAGCCAGCCTGTGCAGCTGAATAAACACCCATAAAACTCTTGCCATGAGCTGCAGGGCGGCAGGTTGCCTCCCCAACACAATCTCTCTCTCTCTCTCTCTCTCTCTCTCTCTCTCTCTCTCTCTCTCTCTCTCTCTCTCCCCCTCCCTCCCCTCTTCCCCCCCCCCCCCCACTCCTCCAGGCTCCAGGGAGCCTCTTCCCTCCGGAAGCAGGCTCCACAGGCCATGTTCTCTGCCTTGTTTCTCTTCTTTCCCCAGGATCAGGTGCTGATCTCTGCTGGGGCATTTGAGGTTTTATCATTTGCTAGCTTTCCTGAGGAATCTAAGGTGCAGCTGTTAAATCTTATCCCATCACATCCCCCCCGCCCAATGAGCCCCAAGAAAAGTCACCCTTTCTGCTCTGACCCTGGGTCCATGTGGGGCTCATGGTCCTTGTCTTCTTAGAGGTCACCTGGCCAGCTGGCAGCTCCTGGGAGTTGGGGAAAGACAGTCTGGGGGCCTGGTCCCAGACAGAGCCTGGAATGGAGCATTTCCCACCCACTGAGTGGGGTACAGGTGGGATGGGAGGCACCGGCTCTCCTCCTTAGCAGAGACACGTAGGCACATGGGTCCAAGACGCAGAGTACTGCCAGTGCTGAGATGGGGTACGAGGCCTGGATCCCAGTGCTGAGGGCTCAGGCCACACAGCTACCAGAGGCCCCAGTAAAGAGACAGGGCAGAAGAGAAGGCAACGATGGAAAGAACGACCCTCGCCCCCACCCCCCCAACACACACACCCACCCCTCCTGGCTTTGCAGGGCACTCAGGAAGGACCCGAGTCAGGGAAGGCAGGACCCGGGCCTGGAGAACCAACAGCGAGAGCTGCGCTGGGTGGGCGCAGGGCTCGGGAGACCCTGGCTCCGGGAAGGTCCATCCCAGCGGCGGCATCCATACGGCCGTGCCTCCAGTACCCATCGCTTAGTCCAGCCCAGCACCCCAGAGCAGGGCTGGGTGCGCCCCAAATGGTCCTTGAGGTGCTGAGAAGGGGGCTTGGGTCTCCCGGGGATGCCTAACCGTGCGCCCCCATCGCCACGCTAGAAAGGAGCACTGGGAGGCCCGTGCAGGAAGGAGCCGCCCAGGCCGGCCCATCGCTCAGCGCCTCGGCCCCGGGAAGTAGCCGGTTGCCCCCGAGGTCTCAGCAGCAGCACGCCAAGCCCGGGAGCAGCCGCTGCTCTGCGCGGGGCCCCGGGTTTCCCCAGGACGGAGGCCCGGTCAGCAGCCCGCCTCCCTCTCTCCGATCCTGTCCCATCAGCAGGAGAAAGGGGCTACTCCACAAACACAGCGGGGCGGGGACCTCAGTACAGCGTCAAGATGCTGCCTCTACCCAGGAGGCGGCAGCGGAGTCTCCCACCTCTGCCCCGCGGCCGAGAAAAACCGGCCCCAGGGCGCACGCGCCGCCCGGCCCCGCCCCACCCCGCCCCACCCCGCCCCACCCCGCGCATGTGCACAACCCACCCCACCCCGCCCCCAGGGCCCTGCGCACGCGCACGCCCGACCTTCTCCGCCCGCCTCCCGGTCCGCGCACGCGCACACCCGCCCTGCGCGTACCTTGCCACCTCCCGGCTGGTGCTTCAGGTTCTCGGTGGAGCCGATCTTGGACCGGACGTTCTTCAGGTCTGGCATGGGCACCGGGGCGGTCTGCAGGCGGCTCTTGGCTGAGGACGGCGACTTGGGCGGGGTGCGGACCACCGCCACCTTCTTGGGCTCCCGGGTGGGTGGCGTGGGCAGCGACGGAGTGCGGGAGCGGCTGCCGGGGGTGCCGGGAGAGCCCGGGCTGCTGTAGCCACTGCGGTCCCCAGATTTCCCGGATTCGCCTGGAGACGACGGCAGGAGGCCGTGAGGCTGGGGAAGGCCCAGGGGGCGCGAGTTCACTCCCAGGCCACCCAGCCGCACGCCCCACGCCACCCCACCCCCGCACACACGGGTTCCCCTCCCGGCCTCGTTCCAGGGTCGGCACCCCTTCCCAGCAGAGCCAACTCAGTGCATGGCCCTGGGCTCAGGTTGGGGGGCTCCATCCTCTCCCACCACCCCCTCCCCAAGCCTGCAGGCTTTGTCTCAAAAAGGGAAACCGTAGTAGGCTGGCATGGAGGCAGGGCGACAGGACCCCAGAATCAGCCCGCAGCTGCACTCACCATCCCCCTCTCAGCCTCCGGGGGTACCTGGGCTCAGCACAGGGTCAACTTTGTGTCCAGGAGCCCCTTGCCATCCAAGCAGATCCTCCAAGCCTCCCCAAGAAAGTCCTTTGTCCCACAAATGCCAGTTTGCATTCCCAGGCATCGGAGAGGCCAGCTGGGTCCTCCTGCATCCCCCACCCCAACTGCAGACCCTGACCATCTCTCTGGGCACCTTTCCTAGTACCCTGGGCTCCCCACAGGCCCAGCCCTTCTCACTCCCCCATCACAACAGTTTACTCCCTGTCTACCTGGAGGACCAGGGCTCCGGAGAAGGCAGGACCCCAGCTTCAGCGCCCCTGGGACATGGAAAGCCAGGTTCCCAGGCCCCAGACGGACCTGAGACTGCAGGAGGAAAGATCCTCCCAGCCCCTGAGTCCTGAGTCTTTGGTATTCGTGGCTTACTCCTTCCTCTGCTCAGTGGTCACTTCTGGCACATCAGGGTACCATATGTGGTGCCAGGGATCAAACACTGTCAGCTGTGTGCAGCACAAGTGCCTTGCCCCTGTACTGTCTCTCTAGCCCCAAATTCCTCAATCCTTTTTTTTTTCTTTAAAGAAACTTTTCTTTTTTTTTTTTTTTCTTCTTGGGTCACACCTGGGCGATGCACAGGGGTTACTCCTGGCTCTGCACTCAGGAATTACTCCTGGTGATGCTTGGGGGACCATATGGGATGCTGGGAATCGAACCTGTGTCAGCTGAATGCAAGACAAACACCCTCCCCGCTGTGCTATGGTTCCAGTCCCCAGTCCTGGATCCTTGAGCAGACAGAGCTGGGACCTGGATGCACCAGGTGGCCTGGCTCTCCCTGCAGAGCCCCCCAACCCCTGAGCCATCTGTAACACATGCCCCCGCAGTTCCCAGCTGGGAGAAGGAAGCTTGTTCCAGGCAGCCTCCTGCCCTGTCCCCGGGAACCCCACATCAGTTCCCAGGGTTAGAGCTTGAATGGCTCTCGGCTGCCCGCCCTGTAACGCCGCTGCCTTTCCACCACAACAGCACAAACGGAGCGCGTCTTCATCTTCTCTAACCACCTACAGAAACACCAGCGGAGCCTCCTCCAGCCCCACCCGTAGCCAGGCAAATATCAGACCAGGGCCTGGTGGCAGCGGCTTTAAGTCCTTTCTGTGCCACTTAACTGCAGAGCTGCCTGAAGCTGCCCCTCGCCCTCCCTGACCTTGTGCCTCCCTGGGAGCGAAGGATGGCAGGCCCAGCCCGCAGGTCTGTTAGGAGGCTCCGGGAGCCCCACTGGCCACAGGCGCTCCTAATGCCCTATGATAGGTACCAGCGAGAATTCCACACCTGCACTCCACAAGGGATGTGCCAAACCTCCGGCACCTGCAAAGAGCTCGGGGCACATGCTCCCCGTGCCTGCTACCTTCCTTGGTGCTAGGAGGGAACCAGGAGGCACCAGCCAACACCCCGGGGCAGCACCAGAGCCCGTTCCAAAAGCAGGCTCTGGAAGCACAAGCCGCATGCAGGCAAGCACGCAGGCTCGGAATTACCTCTCTCGGCTTTTGCCCCTGCTGGGGGCGGCTTTCTCTGCACTTGCTTGACAGCTTAAAAAGAAAAAGCCACAGAAAGCCTCGTTATACTGGAGCTTCCTTGGGCGCTCAGAAGTTCTGCATGCCACCATGCTTGGGTACGCCCAGCTGGGCCAGACAGAGGGGTTCAGGGGGGCTTGCCTGGCAGGAATTAAGGAAATGGGATGGGTGGGAGGGGGGCACAGAATTGGGGAGGGTACAGAATCTGGCCACCTGTCAGCTGCCACTCCGGGCATACCCAGGGCCCAGGATGTGGCTCAGTGACAAAGTCATGCCATGCGTGCATAAGACCTGGGTTCATCCCCCGGCATTGAGAAACTGGCAGAACCCAAAGGGGATTGCTCAATCTGGTCAAAGTCGTGGCCCAGCTGTAGATCAGTGGGAGTAATGGGCGCAACAAAGGAGCGTGATGGACTCCTCCACGGGCCTCAGCAGGGCGCCATGGGCTGCAGGCATGCTTTGCACGTGAGGGTAGCAGGTTCCATCCCTGCAGCACACGGTCCCCCAAGCAGGTAAGAGGAATCCTCTAACGCCCACTCACAGATCAGACAACCACTATTTCACACACGATCATGCATAAGACTCAGGATGTGAGAAAACAGGTTCCAGAGCTGTGTCAGTGCCCCCAAATACCAGCAGCCCCGGGCCACAGACAAAAGGCCCACCAGCAGCACACACGCAAAGCCCAGGGCCCACAGCAGCCCACGCCGGGGCAAAAGCCACACACCCATGACACCACTCAGAAGCCAACGCTGGCCAGGCAGAAGAAAGTCAGGAGTCTGTGGCAGACTGGGGGCCTTGGGGTTGGGGGCTCTGGATCCCGTGACCCCCATCCCAGAGAGTGGCCATTCTTTGCTAGCTCTATGGGAGGGAAAGTTTGCTGACCAAGGCCCTGCCCTGCATTCTAAATGCAGTAGGTTGTACTCGGAGCCTTCAGAACGGGCACAGCTAAGATCTTTGGGTTTTGTCACAAAGAGGTGGCCAGCCCCTGTGTGAAGTCACCCAAAGTAACCTGTTCAGGCTGCCCTGTCTCCAGAGAGATACCCCACACCACACGTCTCATTTGGGAGAGAACAACCCCCAGGTGGAAGAAGCTTCTTGGAAGCCCTTATCCGGCCATTGATGAAACACGCGCCCTTCCTGACCCCCCCCCCCCCCAATTTTCTCACACTTGGAATGAGCTGGTGCCCTGCAGACTTGTCAAAAGGGGGAGAAAGAAAGGGAACCTTCTGGGGCTCAGTCACCTGATTTTTAGGGGCCTTGGCGGCTGCGTGCGGCCACATTCTTACCCGTACCTGGTGGGGTCTTGGGACTGGGCGTGGTTTTGGCCGGGATCCTTGTGGTGTTGCCCGATGGGCCCTTCTGGCCCGGAGGGGCCCCTCCCCGGGGTGTGGCGATCTTGGTTCCAGCTTTATTATCCTAAAAACAAAACGGGGGAGAGTGTAGGGTGGTCTTTCTGCCTCTGCCTCCACCACCCCATCCGCTGCCTTGACTCGGAACAAGGCTCAGATCGGGGCGACTCTGCAGTCACAGGGGTCTGCTGGCACGTGAGCCTGCTGGCCCCCAGATACCAGGTGGCCTGACTGCCGTGTCCACCGAGAGGCCCTACTCTGATGCTTCCAGCAGGAGTGGGAGCCAGAGCTGGGGCTATTCCCTCCCGTCCACACCACAGGCCGGCCCTGAGCAGATGGCCTGTGCAGACACCCTGTCCAGCTGTTCCGCTGGAGGCCCCGAGAGCCACTGTTTGCTGAGCCTGCCTGGACACTGGTGATGGGTTCTTCCCCTGCTCAACTGGCCCTCGGGGTCCAGCCACCCGTGACACACTTGCCAGAGGCGGAAAGCATAGTGGCTGGGGCCAGTGACCCTGTCAATGACCTTGATACATAAGGCAAAGTCAAAACAAGAAACTGACATTCACTGCCAACTCATGAGCAATGTGATACCTTCCTGCCCAAACCAGGGCCTCTAGAAGCATTTCCTGTCTGCCCGCAAATTGGGTGAGGGAGGAACCCAGGGAGAGCAGTGGTTTTTTCAACCAGCGCCCCCTGGAGGTGTACAGTGTGTGTGTGTGGGGAGGTAGAGAAGGCAGTGAGCACTTCCCCTGGGCCTGTTTCAGCAGGGATTCAAACTCCTTCCCAGCACTGGTGGCTAACAGCTTATGTGAAGCAAAGACCTTGGAGGCGCAGAAACTCCCTCCATGGGCGGCCCGTGAGAGCAGCCTGGCCCTTGGCAGAGGCACTTTCCTTACCTTGAGTTTCATCAGCTTTGTTCCAACACTGCAAGTTCGGGGTGTGACAGAAGAGATGCGTTTAGGAGAGGATGGCGGCTCTGGGCACGCGGCAGGGCTGGAGGGTTTGATCAAAGGGTCTGAGCTACCAGGAGTGGGGCCTGGGGGGCTAAGGCGGGGCCTAGCACTCAGGGTTTTAGCAGAGAGGAAGGTGTGGGTGTCTTCAACGAAAAACATAAATGACATCGAAAGTCAGCACACAGGGAGCAGAACAAAACAAACAGGATGGAGACAAGACAGTCAAGGCGGTGGCAGCCCCGGGCCCCGCCTGTCTTTGGACCCGTCCACCTCGCAGGGACAGAATTAGACACTGAAACTTGGCCAGTTCATCACCGACGTCATCCCGCCAGCCTGCAGTGCACGTCACAACACTTACATATGACAGAATCGGAAAAAAAGAAGATGGAAAATGGAGAGGAGTTCCAGGAGGTTGTCTGTCCAGTTCATCTTCTGGTGCCTTTCAAGCCGCGGCCCCAGCCACCCCACTACAAGCTTCAAAGGAGACCACCAGGATACTTGTGGAGGGGGCCCAAGCACCCCACTGTCTGCTCAGTTCCACGGGCCCCCTAGCCCTGGACCCTCTTCCACGCCGGTGGGATCAGGCTCACTAAAGCCATAGTCACACCCGACACCCCCAAATCACACACACGCTCTTGCAGACCCAAGTTACAAATAAAAGGGATCGTCACTGCCTCGGGAATCCTGGTCTGGACAACGCCCCCCCCTGTGGAGGCAACAGTCTGTGGGGCAGGGGCAGTGGCAGGGGACAGGTGTCCGTAGCGGCTGACCTCACAGAGGGGCTGGCTGCAGGGGACAGCTACAGGGACTGGGTGGTTCAGTATGTATTTGGGGATCCTCTTGAGCAGTGCTGGAGGGGGCCTCAGAGTCACTCCTAGCAATACTAGGGCCCGACCATGCTTGGGGTCCATCCTAGAGACCACCAGGCCACACCTGTTGGGACTGTGTGGGGCAGGGGACCAGACCCGTGGGCCTAGCATGCAGGACACCTGCTCCAGCTCCTGGGAGTCACAGTCTGGCCCCTTGCGGGTGGAGTGGGGTCTGATGGGGAAGTGGACGGCAGAGACGCTTCTCCGGGTGTCAAACTGGGGGGCCCTGGAGTCGCAGCAATGGCTCGGGCTGCCTCAGCCACCAGGAGGGGGGTACAGGGGGTGGGCACAGGCTGAGGACTGTATGAGGGAAGGAGGATGGGGGTGGACACGGCAGCTCCCCTTCCCGCAGGCAGGGTTTGTACAGGATTGTTCTGACAACCAGAGTAACACCTTCATCGAGGTCCTCAGTGGGGTTTCCCTGGAAGGCACTGGGGACTTCTGGAAGCATTGCCTACCAAAGAGCTCAGCAGGGACCCCCGCAGATGTCTAGCCCAGTGCCAAGTTCAGAGGCCGCAGAGGCTGAGACCACCCCTGTTGACACGGTCAGCTGTGCCCAGGAGAGGTGCCACCACGTCCTTCCATTCTTTTATTTTTATTTTTTAATGAATCATTTTGGGATACAGTTACAGACTTACAAACTGTGTCCCTTTATTCTGCTCAGCTCCTTGAACTGGCCTGGGCACCCCCACCTCACAAATTTGACCCAGCAAGATACCCAGAGCACCCTGCAAGATGACCCATCCCGTGCCTCTGCCACCCAATGCCGAGGGCTGGCCTGGCCACTCCCAGCCCCACATAAGCTCCAACAATCTTATGTGCATTTCAGTATTTCTGCATGGCTGGCTCAGAACCCTTTATAATCCACTCAAATCCTTTCACACATTTCTTCTCCATGTGATTGGTTCAGAACATTTTATATCCCACTTCCTCCTCAGAATTGATTCCACGCTTCTGCTCGCCCTGCCCAAGGCTAAGGAAGCTCTCAAAAAGCAGAAACTCCCCACCTCGGTCACCCAGAAACAGGGAGAAGCTTTCCCAGGATGCTGAGCAGGCTCTCAGGAGGCCTCCACTGTCCAAGTGGGCACTGTTTCTCATTAATAAACTTGTTCTGCCCTTGCCTGCATGTCTCACTGTCACTGTCCCCCCCCCATCCCCCTGCCCCCGTTGTTCGTGGATTTGTTCAAGCGGGCCCAGTAACATCTCCATTTTGAGACTTGTTGCTGTGTTTGGCAGATCGAATATGTCACGGGTAGCTTGCCAGGCTTTGCCGTGAGGGCGAGATACTCTTGGTAGCTTGCCGGGCTCTCCGAGAGGGGTGGAGGAATTGAACCTGGGGTCAGTCTCGTGCAAGGGAAACGCCCTGCCTGCTGTGCTATCGCTCCATCCCACTTGTCTCACTCTCGGTAAATCCTTTCACTTCTCGCAGCTCAGAAGCAGCAGGATCTGAATCAGTGCAGCCCCTGACCCACCAGTCAGGGCATGGCCTCCGCATGCCCCTTTTCATCTCCTAGAACTCAGCCACGGGTGCCCATGGGGGGACAGTGCACTGCTCAGGGCTCTAGGCTGTGTACATTGGGCCACGCACACTCTGCTTTTGGCGTGCGGTTTGGGGACAACACTTGGTGGTGCTCAGGGATCACACCTGGTGGAGCTCAGGAGAACATTCGGAATGCTGGATATCGAACTGGGATCAGCAGTGTGCAAGGCAAGCACTCTACCCGCTGTGCTATCCCTATGGCCCCCTGATCGCTTTCAGGATGCACATCAGGTCACCTCCCAACCACCTGCCCACATCATCCCCTGGGGGCCCCCACAGAACTCTGGTCTCTGTGGCCGCCAACCCCATCTGCTCAGGTGCTCGGTCCACTTCTGCCTTCCCGAGCTGTCCCCACAGCAAGGAACACGGTTCCTGTCACTCCACCCCAAGCCTCCAGCATTCCCTTCACGACAGCCTCTAGCTCCCTCCTTTTGGACAATTCCAGAACCCCCCCTAGACTGGTGAGCACCAAGATGGCTCTTAGGCCAAGTGTCCCCTAAGAGTGGCGTTCACTGTCTCTCACAGGGGTGGGCACAGGCAGAGCGAAGACCTGGAGTGGGGCGTGTACAACGCACATGATGCAGTCCTGACTGATGTCGCAAACAGCTCAGGAAAGGGAGCGCTCGTTCCCACCCCAACAGCCTCCACTGCCTCCCCGGACCTCAGCATCCAAGCAGAGGAGAGCGAAGATGTGAAGCCCCCTGAGTGAATGACAGTGGCGTTTCTGTGACAAACACGCCCCGTGATGCGAGAGTGACCCTCGGGGCAGAATGCAGTTCCCCGTGCCACACTCTCCCCAGCTTACCTTGTTCTTCTTGTCATCATTTCCAGTCCCATCTTTGCTTTTGCTGACCATGCGAGCTGAAAGAAGCGACAAAGGGAATGTTAGTCACAACCATGCCCCCCAGCTGGCAGCGGGCACCCTGGGGAGGCCAGCTCGCTCGCCTCCTCAGGGCTTGCCCGCCGCAGGGTCAGCTGGGCTGCAGGAAACCAGCTGGTTCTGCCCCTGGGATGTTAGTGTCGTGTTGTTAGTCCCCACACAGCACACTGGGTCACTGCTGCAAGCACCCTGGCAAGAGGGGACAGCAGGCCAGCCGGGGAGGGTGGCGACATGCGAGGGACACAGGGAAACAGTGGGGCACCCGTGGGCACGGGGGCCTCAAGGATGAGGGTAGTGCCCCCCCCAGTCTTGCCCCCACCCCAGGTTCTGCCAGCTGAGACCAAGCCCTTGGCAAGGAGGCATTTGGGAGCTCTGATGGAGGCAGATCAGGACCCCCTGAGCTGGATGGGTGGGCAGCTGTGCCCAGAGTTCTTATCAGCAGGAGGTCCCCCCCCCCAAGTTTGCTCAAGTCTAGTTACTGCCCATCATTTGAGCACTAAGACCTGGACCTGCTGAGGGGGGAGTTACCCGTACAGCTGAGCATTGTCTCAGTTGCACCTGCTGGCATTCGGGCGGACAACCCACTGCGCTTCACTGCCCTTGCCCCTGCCCCCAGGGACTGTGGCAAGAGCTGGGCTTTCTTGGGGACCACCACTGACAGCGGGAGCTGCTCACACAGGTCCCTGAGACCAGCGGGCGGCCTCACAGCCCTTTGGTCAGTTGCGGGGGTCACAGCTGTTGAGCTCAGGGCCCCCAGGGCCATGGCAGCTGTGCTGGTGGGGCATGTGGTGTCCGACCAGAACTCGGGCTCTCGTGCTGGACACACTTGGGGGGTACTTGAGGCACCTCCCCGGCCACCACATTCTCCGCCCAAACCAACCAGCATCCCTGCTGACTAGGGAAGCAGCAGCCAGCTTGGGTGGGGCTGAGCAAAGCTTCATCTGGGAAATGTCATAGTGGACTTGGAGAGATTCGGGGTGCTCCCTCCCCCACCCCCAGGGCTGTGTGGGATCACACAGGCTCAGCCCTGCTACAGCAAACCCTCCTGAATCTGGCCCAGTGTGGAACTCTGCCCTGAGCTGCTCCTGATGCCCAGCATGGCCAGGCCCCTGTCAGGGAGAAGCACAACACCGCCAAGCACAGCTCTCTGTACCCTCATGTTCTAGAGTTCAGGATCTTTAAAAATAGGACCAGTGCCCCCTGCCCCAAACACCCCTGATCTAAAATTATTTGGGGGCCACACCAGGTGGTAAGAGGTGCTCAGGGCTGACTCCTGGCTCAACACTCAAGGATCACTCCTGGTGGGATTCTCAGGGGACCATATGGGATGTCAGGGATCAAACCTGGGTCGGCCACATACAAGAGAAATGCCCTCCCTGCTGTACTATCGCTCTGTCCCACCCCCTGCCATCTAAAATTTCTAATAGTTTCATTTCTAAATGACAGCTCAGTTTTCTTGACAAGTAGTACTGGATCCAGACCCAGCAGATGTTAATGGACAGTTTCAGTCCCAGCAATTTTTGGCCCTGCAGACGATATGAGAATATTGAGAAATGTCAGAACGTGCCAACACGTGTCCCCAGGACTTCCTCTGGAGCAGCCACTGTCTGCTTCCTGCTGGCTCCCGACTCATGGGGATGTCCCTTCTCCTCTCCGGCCTGCAGAGGTTCTCATAGCTAATCTTCCCCTGGCTCTGCTGATGGAGGTGGTGGGGGCAGGCAGGACCCCGTCCCTCCGCTCCGTCTGTTCTGCCACCAGGCATGTGGGATGGGAGAGCGCACTGGGCCCCGTAGCTATCACCGGCTGCATGGGAAGGGGTGTCTACTGCCATGAGCACAGAAGACAGGCGTGTGCACTTTGCATCGCTGGGTTAGAAAACTCCAGCCTGCTTCAGTCATGGTCACTGGGTGACTTTCTGGGGTTTTTTTTGGGGGGGGCACACCCAGTAGTGCTTGAGGGTCCTTTCTGACTGGGGTCAGGGGACCATCCATGGTGCCAGGGATCAAACCTGGGTTGGCTTCATTCAAGGCAAGTGCCTCAACCCCTGTACTATCCTGACCTGGGTTACTTTTTCACCTTTTCTTCTTTCTCTTTTTTTTTTTGTTTCTTTTTGGGTCATACCCAGTGGTGCTCAGGACTTCCTCCCTCCTAGTGGGGCGTGAGGGACTGTATGTGGGATGCTAAGGATCGAACCCAGGTCAGCCCGTGTGCAGGGGAAGCGCCTCCCTGCCATCCTATCACTCCAGCCCCTCACTTTTTCTTTTAAACCAGAGTCTTGGTTTCCTCCTCCACAAGGTGCGGTGGCTGTGATATGTGGCGGGCTCCATGCAGTCTCGGAAGGGACCCAAGAGGCCCCTCAGCAGGGAGCAGCAACTGACCTCGGTGCCTGGCAGCCGAAGGGCCAGTAGTAGAAAGAGGGCGGAAAGCGCCATGGGGGGTGCTGGCATCATGCAGAAGCGCAGGAGGTGTTGATGGTGCAGAGCCGGTGGGGGTGGAGGAGCGGCAGCGGAGTAGGGGGGTCTCCGCTGCCTCCTGGTGCGGCAAGAGCCAGGGCAGGGCTGGAAGCTCAGTGACAGCACCACAGCCTGGGGGTCCCTGAGTCTCCGGGAGCAGCCCGGGCAGGAGTCACACACCTTTGAGCTGAGGGACCCGGCTGGGCGGCTGCCTTCCTGGCGGCTCTGGCGGGGCGGTCTGCTGTGTGTCCTCGTCCACGGCGTGGCCCTGGGGCTCCTGTCCATCTCCGGGATGCCCCCCAGAAAGTGCCACCCCTTCCGAATCCACCTCGGGACACCCCGGCTCCTGCCCGCTAACTTCAAGGCCCGCTTGGACTGTCACTTGGCGGGGGCTGTCCTGTCCCCCTGGGCTGGGTTCTTGGGGTCCCGGGCTCTGGGTCTCGGCTGGAACGTGGGTGGGGGAGATGTCTCCCTCGGCAGGGGTGACAGGGCTGTCGGGGTCCACGCTGAGGACCGTCTCAGGGGGCGGGGAGTCCTGCGAGGATGGGGAGGCCTGGGGAGATGACTCATCGATGTCCCGGTCTCTGTCACCTTCCTCGCCCGCCAGCCTCTCTTTGTCCTGGTCCCCCATCAGAGATGGTGCCCCCTGGGGCGGGTCTCCCCAGAACCGATGCTCCAGCAGCTGGGGGTGGTCCGGCTCGGTCCCTAAAGGTGAGGGCGCGGCCTCTCCGGTGCCTTCAGGCAGGATGAACAGAGGGTGGGGGTCACCCCTGGGGTCTCCAGATCTGTAGCCTCAACTCCATCCTGGAGCCCTGGCCCCAGCAAGATGCCGGATATCCCTAGGTCAGACCCACGTGGGCACGACTGCCCCCTCAGCGTGAAGCCCGTGGCTGACGGGCCCCTGAGGGCCTCTGAGGCAGCTGGGGTGGGGCTGAGAGGTGAGAGGTCACCAGGTCGGAAGCTCCCAGGACCCCCCAAAGCTCCTCTGTGTCCCCTGGACCTGGGAAATGGGGGTCCTCCACCAGGACCCCGCCGCCACCTGCCTCTGGGGCCTGAGTCTCCCCACACTGCGGGAAGGTAGGCGAGGACACGCTGACTCTTCAAGGGGACAGCCTGGGCCTCTCCGGGCGAGAAAGGGGTGCCCCTGGCTCACCCCCGGAGCCTGGTCCCCTGGGGGTGGAAGCAGTGCGACCCACCAGCCTCAGGAGCCTCCCTGCCACTCCCTGTTTAAAATGACTTTATCAGGGTCACCCCAAGCCATGTGCGTGTGTGGATCCCACTCGCATGAGGTGTGTGCCCCGATCCTTTGAACTGCACCCCCCGGCTCTGCCTGCACCCCTCTGTCCAAGGTGGAAGTGAAGAGGAGCATGGAGCTGCCCTCGGGCTCCCACAATGGCGGGTCCTGGGACCGTCATGCAGACAGCGCCTGCGAGATTCTTGTGCACAGGGACCAGCCTGGCACGATGTGGACGGGCCTCCCGATATCCGGGAAAGGACGCAGATGGACCCTCTAGTGCCCAGGGACAGATGCAGATGGACCCCCTAAGTGCCGTGGATGGACACGAATGGGCCCCCCAAGTGTCCATGGATGGATAAGGACCGATCCCTGAGTGCCCAGAGATGGACACAGATGGACCCCAAGTGCCCAGGAACAGACATGGATGGGCCCCCTGTGTGCCAGACAGAGATGCAGACGGACCCCCCCAAGTGCCCAGGAACAGACACAGACAGACCCCCCCCCTCAGTGCTCCCACCCACAGGAACGCAGCTTACCTGTACCCACTGCTGGCTTGGCGCCAGGTCCCCTTAGCAACACTTTCTTCTTCCCAAGCCCCCAGCCCTCATACCTAGCCCTGTGGAATGATCCACACAGCAACCCAGTGGTCCTGCAGACAAAACTCAGAAGCCCCTGGATGAGGGCCTGGGCGGGGGGGGGGGGGGGGAGGAGGATGTGGAGGGTTCGAGTCTGCTCTCTCTGGACTGACACGCAGGGCCCCACCCACCAAGGGTCACGTATGTGGCTGCCCAGCTGGTGTTGCCCTCCTGCACTCACTTTTTTTTTTTTTTTTTTTTTTGCTTTTTGGGTCACACCCAGTGATGCACAGGGGCCACTCCTGGCTCTGCACTCAGGAATTATCCTGGCGGTCCTTGGGGGACCATATGGGATGCTGGGAATCGAACCTGGGTGGGCCACACCCTACCCGCTGTGCTGTCACTCCAGCCCCCTCATTCACTCTTGACGGTAGCTCAGAGCCGCTGCCCTAAGCGGCCAGGGCACAGCCCCTGCTCTCCGCTGACCCAGGTAGCAGAGAAGCCAGACACGGGCGAGGGTGGGGTGAGGCCCTGCAGACGCTCTGGACCTAGACTTCAGAGCTGACCAACTGAAGTCCAGAGGGGGCTGCAGCAGCTGCTGGTCCTTCTGGCCCCTGGCAGCCCCAAGTGCCCCCAACCTTCCAGGAACCTCACTGTTCCCTGCAGATGGCGCTGGGCCAGCCGGACAGGAGAGAGACCCGGGTCCTGTGCAAAGCCAGGGCTGGGCAGCCAGTCCTGAGCTACGACAATTCCTCTCTTGCAGCCTGGGCAGGCAATGACCATCGGCCTCACCGGCAAGCATAACCAGGCAATCCCTGTCCGATGACCTCGGGAGGCCACCTAGAGGGGCCCCCCAGCCCCGCCAGCTCCCACGCCCCCAGCTTGGTGGCTGCAGCACCTTTATCTAAGAGGGACAGACGTCAGCACTACAGGCTCCCAGGCTCCCCTTGCACAGCAGGGAGGAGTGGGGGAGGAGCTCACCCAGACCGACCCGGGTGTTTCCCTTCAAAGCAGACGGGTGGGCTCTGCCTGATGACAGTCTGTGATCAGTGATTCCCCGTGTGTCTTGGGAGGGACACCTCAGCCCAGTGACCCCAAACCTGGTGCTGAGCACTGGCCCTGGGGAGGCAGGGAGAAACCCCGGCTGCAGGCAGGAATGTGAGCCCTGGGCTCCTCTCCTGCCTGGGTGCGGCTGGGCCCCGGGAAACACAGCTGGAATGGGTCAGCTCTCTGTGCAGGACACGCAGGCAGCCCGAGGGGGGACACGTGTGGAGACAGACCTTCACATATGTTTCTTTTATGGAGGTAACTGATCCTTTCTAGAGGCGACAAAAGTGTCTAATTTTACCTTAAACTGAAAATTGTGACTTAAGAAAGCCGGCAGCCAGGATTCTAGTTATCTAACACACAGAATGGGGCTGTGTGAACGCTGCCTCCATGCCCCGGGATGAGACACCTGGCGGGGAGGCGCAGGGACCCACGGGCGCGGAGTCAGGGTTCACCCCCCCCCACACACACACACATACACCTCAGGGCTGGGGATCCCTGAAGCCAGATGACCCCGTTGCAGCGCTGAATGCAGGGAAGGCGCCAAACCATTCCTGGGAGAAAATAACAGTGTCCTCCCAGTCGCTGTCTGTAGTCTAGAAACTTCCATGTGACAGCAGAGGAGTTCATTTACACAGCAGATGCCGGAAAACTACCCCGGCCTGCAGAGCCTCCCACGACGTGGGGAATCAGGCTCTTCAGACTGTTGTTTTTCCTTCGTTTGTTATTTGGGCCACACCTGGTGGTGCTCAGGGATCATTCCCGGAGGGGTTCGGGGTGCGGGGGGAGACCAGGGATTGAAATCCAGGTTGGCCATGTGCAAGGCAAATGCCCTACTTCAGACATTTCTGACAAAAGGACATTCAAGGACATTCGAGGGGTGTAGAGGGAGAATCGCCGGAGTGGACGTGGTGCTGACCAGCTTGAGGCCTGGCTCCCTTGAGGCTGAGGGGACCTGGCCTGTCCCCATACCTGGACATCTGTTGGCTGACCCTTCCCCGCTCCCGAGGCCAGGCCACCAACTCGGGAACACTCACGCCCCTCAGCCATCCAGCTTTGGTATAAGCTAGCTCCCAGCGGGCCCCGAACTCCAAGGGGTCAGGACCCAGGTCCTGGCCAGAATGCCTCAGGGGACAATCCCGCTGGGAATGGCCACCTCCCTCTCATCCTCCCCGTCCCCCGTGTGGGGCAGTACCACAGTTCACCCACCTTGAGTCACATGTCCGCCTGCATGGTCTTCCATGTTGGGGGTGTCTCCAATGCCTGCCTCTTCAGCTGCGGGGCGTACCAGTGACGGAGGAAGATAAAAGAAAAGAAGGTCAGTGCTTGTTGGACACCAAACCCTGCCACTTCGAGGGTTCCCCAGAATGTTCGAGAAAGGCACGTCTCAGGGTGCTGAGGGGCCGGAGGCCTGGCCCTCTGCATAAACGGTGAGCTCAGCAGAGCCCCCGACACCCACACCCCAACCCACGACACGAGAGGAAGGACGGGCACTTTTCTGGGGCCTGAGCACAGCAGGCGGGATGGGTGGGGGCGCAGCGGGTGGTGGGTGGGAAGCACGTGGCTGGGGGCTGGGGGTGAGGGTGGGGTCGTGGCCGGGACCCACCACCTGATTCCCTCTCGGAGCCCACTGCCTCCTCCAGTTTGTCTTAGAGCATCTTAGGAGAGCTCGGGAGGAAGCTCAGCTCAGCACCTGACGATGGGCAGAAACCCCAAACCTCTGGGCACCCCCTTTTCCTGCTCTCCCAGAGCAGGAGCTGCCGACTAAGGGAGCATCAGCAGCAGGTAATTTTTGGGGGGTGTCCCCGGCTTAGGAGGCCCATGCACAGACGAACCAACTCCTGACCCATCCACAACCGCACTGACGCCAATGATTCAGTGCGAGACATGCTGCTCCTGAGATTACTGTGTGCGTGTATGTGTGTGTCTGGGTGGGAGGGGGTTGAGCCCTGCCCGTGCACACAACGCCACAGCCTGTCCTGACAATGCCAGGGCACCACCGCAGACACCAGGGGGAGGCGCTAATGTAGCAAATCAGCCACAGCACATGCCTGGGCTGCCTGACCGCAAAACCAACATGTATGTGTGGGGGGTGGACAGTGTCCACTATTCTGGGATTGGCCCACGGGCCCAGTCAGTCCCTCCTCGCCTGTGGGGGCTCCTTTGTGCTCCACCCCACCTGAAACACTTGGTGGACAACCCCTGCCAGCACAAGGCCGAGGAGGGAGCCCTGAGTTGCAGACCCTCTGGGGGGCACCCCAGTACCGGTCCTGGTACCCTGCCTACAGGCTGACTCTCTGCCCATGGCTGGGCCCCCCGGTCCCCACGCTGCCCAGCAGGGTCTCCTGGTGGGGGGTGTGTGTGTGGGTGGGGTGCTCCTCGTCAAGCCATGAGAGCATCTGCCCTGGGAGGTGGTGCTGAGCAGAGCTGGACTGAACTTCCTACAGGCCCAGATGGCAGAGGGATCCCTTGGGGGGACAAGGCGTGGACGGGGGACACAGGGTCAGGATGCCCGAAGCCACTGCTCTCCTGCCTGGCCTGGGTCTGGCTCCACAACGGGGAGGCTGACACCCTGACCCAGGAAGGGGGGTGGTGCTGGGTTTGGGGGAGCAGAGGCAGGGGCCCCCAGCCAGGTAGTACAGGGGGTTCTGAGTGGGGTGACGACACTGAACCCCCAACGGGATCCCACCAGAGCATGAAGACAGCCAGTGATGGACGCTGAGGTGAGGCGTTCTGCCGAGGGACCTTTCCGGTCAAAGCTCCCGGGATGTGAAGGATGGGGAAGAGGGAGAGAGGACCGAGGCGTCGGGGGGACTTACTGAGAGAGGTCACCCCAGTGCCCTGGGCTCAGGGCACCGCCTGGTGGTGGGGACGGGCGAGCTGCAGACAGGACCCCACCTGGGAGGGCTAGAGCAAAGGTGGGCACTGCGATCTGCGAACCCAGGGCTGCGGCCCATGGAGCCCTGGAGGGCCCCATGGCCCCAGCAGGAGCGGGGCACGGAGCGCGGGGCCGGCCGGCCGTCTGTGCACCCCGAGGGGCTGAGGAAAGAGAAAGTCTGCCAGAATCAAGTGCAGAGGGTGCCTGGGCCCCCACACAGCCCACAGCAGGGCTGCAAGCAAGCCCTCTCCTGTCCCCTCCCAGCCTCCCTGCCCCCAGCCCCGGGCCGTGCCCGTACCCCGGCACCAGCTTGGACGTGCCACCTGACCTTTCTCTCAGGCATTACTGCTTATTTATTATTTTCGTTGGTTTTTGGGGGGCACGCCCAGCTCAGGGGCAATTCCTGGCTCTGTGCTTGGTAGTCATGCCCCTCACTGCTCCAGGGGACCACGTGCCATGGGTGGAAAGGGGTCAGCAGGCAAGAAACTCAACCTCTGCACTCACTCGCCAGCCCCCTTCTGGTTTCTTTGGCCACACCCGGCGATGCTTGGGGGTTACTCCTGGTTCTGTGCTCAGGAATCTCTCCTGGCAGTGCTTGGGGGGGACCCTATAGGATGCCGGGGATCAAACCCGGGACGACTACATGGAAGGCAAGAGCCCCACCTGCTCCAGTTCTCTTTTATGTTTTGTTTCTTCTTGCTTTGCTTTTTGTGCTCGACTGATTTTTTCCCTTTTCCTTTTGGTTTGGGGCTGTTCCTGGCAGTGCTGGGGGACCCCCCGCGACTCTCCCTAGGGAAGTCACATTCCAGCCCTGGGGTTTGGGGACTGTGGAGGGCCCCAGACCTGCACCGCAAGCCCCGCCCCCCCGTGCACTGGTTGCCAGAACTGACAGCTAAGTCACACACAGGGCAGGGCCAAGTTCCCCAAAGGAGAAAGGGCCAGAGGGAGGGAAAGTCACCTGGGACCTTACACCCACTCTTGGCAGCCCCTGTGGGTCAGGCCCAGGAACTGGGCTCCGACTATCTCGACCAACTTGCAGGGAAAGAATGTGGGGAAGGGAGCCAGGTAAGGCACTTTGTGGGCTTCTCCCCTGGGTGGAAGTTTCCCCAAGGCTGCCCTCCACACCCAGCGGGGCTCAGGGGCTATTCCTGGCACGGTGGTGCCTGAGTGAGTGTGCGGTATCAGGGCCCAAGCCCAGGTCTCCTGCATTCGGCTGAGTGACTCAGCTCCCTGGCATGGGCCTTGGAAAGGAAACACAGCTTCTGCCTGGGAACATTTCCCGGGGCCTCACACTGCTGCAGTGTGGAGGGCGCGGCCCTCCATTCCCAGCCAGCTCCTGAGGTCTCTCCTAACCCAGAGGAGGCCGAGAGGGGCAGGTGGGGGCCTGGGCGGTGTCTGGCTGAGCTGAGTAGAGGAAGCAGCATCCCCACCGCTGGCTTGGGCCAGTGTCCCTGCAGGTGACAGCCTCACAGCTCTGCCATGTCTGGCTGGGGTCTGTGGCAGCTGGTCCCCAAAACCCACATGGACAGGGCCACCTTGTTCCCCGGCTCGAGGCAGGACATTCCTTTGAAGAGTTCAGTCTTACTGCAGAACTCCAGTCTTGCCGGAGCACAGGCTTTGAGTGTCAGTCCCCGTTCTAGCCCTGGTACTGCCTGGTTGCCGAGTGTCACCAAGTATGGTCCCAGACACCAAGCCGAGAGAAGAACCTTCAAGTAACGGCTCAGTCACCTGGACTCCAAGTGACCCTGGAGAGGCGGCGCACGTATGTGTGTGTGTGTGTGTGTGTGTGTGTGTGTGTGTGTGTGTGTGTCTGCGCACGCGTGGGGTAGGGGGGTGCCCCGTCCCTGTGCAGTGAGGGCTGGAGGAGGGGGACAGGAGAGAAGATGCTGCAAGTTCTGGGTTCTGGGCCCTGCTTGGGAGACTGAGGCTCCAGAAAGAGAACCCGAGTCCTCGGGACCACGTCTCTGCCTCATATAGAGACCAGCGCACCCCTTCCGGCCCCCGCTCCATGGGGCACCGCTCACACACGCCCCCGGGGTCACCCTCACCTGTGGTTCCTTCTGGGATCTCCGTGTGGGGTTGAGCGGCTGCTGGCACCCCAGGGATGCCCTCATTCACTAGGGGTGCTGTCACGTCTGGAAACCACCAAGAGTGCCTTAGGGGGGCCGAGCGACCCTCCCCCTTTGCTTCCTGTGCGGGAGCAACGCAGGATGGGGTCCAGGGAGCACTCAGCCACATGCAATGAAAGCAATGACCCCCCCAAGCAGGCGAGCTTCTGTCCGAGGGGTGCCCGCTCATGGGCCAGGAAAGTGGGGGTGGGGAGGGATGGTCCCTCTCAACCCATAGAGAGAGAGACCCGGCTGGGATGGTCCCAGGGGGTTACAGAGAAATGCAGAAGGTGGTCAGAGGACAGGAGGGGAGGGTCTGCAGCCTGGAGGCACATCTGCGTCCTCTCTGGGACTCAGTTTCCTCATTGCAGTAGGGAAGTGTCTGGGGGGGCTCCAAAGTACCCTCCACTCTCAGCCCTTCCCCTGCCCAGCCCCTGACCCATGGTTCAAGCAGAGAGTCCCGGGGATATGGGCAGGCTGGTTCTGTCTGTCTGGGTGGGTGCGGGCGGGTCCCCACCTTCGGGGCAGAGATGGGAGGAGGGGTGGGCTGATTTGCCGCCAGGACCAGCTCCCGGCTCTCCTCCCTAACCCACTTTCAGGCCATGCCCCCACGGCGGGTGGGCAGATGTGGGAGCTTCCCAGGCCGTGCCTTGAGCACCCCCCTGCAGGCTGGGCTCCCTCTGTCTTCACTTCCCAGCAATGTCTGGGGGCTGACAGGGACTCTGGGATTCCTATGCCTGGACCTGCTCAGGGCACACGCCAACAGGGCAGGGCCCAGCACCAGCTCTCAGGACGAGGTCCAGCATGCGGGCTCCCTGCCCGAATCCCTTCCTGAGCCCTGGGGAGGGACTGGTCTATCCCAGCACTGCACCCCACAGAAGGGGTGAGGACAAGGGCCTGGAGGAGCCTAGAGCCTGCCAGGGAGGGAGGCACCCTGGGTGGGTGAGCAGAAAGTCCTTCCCCGCCCCCGCAGGCACCCTAGCAGGGGGGAGTGACCCTGACACTCAGCTCTGGGCTTGCTGACAGGGCGAGGGCACGGCTGGTCTCAGGCTTTTCAGGCCTCTTTGATTTGCTAGTTCCTTACTTTTGATTCTTCTTTTCGATTTTGGGGGCCACGCCTAGCAGTATTCTGGCTTACTCCTGGTTCTGCTCTCCGGGATTGCTCAGGGAAGGGCCGAGGGACCCTCGGGGTGCTGGGTAGCAAACCCAAGTCTGCGTGTGCTCAGTGAGCACCCTTCCCCTCTACTATTCTCTCTGGCCCCTGACCCACTATTTTCTTTCTGCTCCGGAGGCAGACGTGATGACTGGAGGGGCAGCAGCCCTTTTGTGGCACAAGGCGGCACTCCGGCCATGAAGGCAGGCAACAGGCAGAGACAGAAGCCTCCTGGTGACCCTGGGGAGTGTTGTCCGAGTGCAGACAGCTCTGGGCTGAGCCGCCCTCGCCACACACCTAGCCAGGAGCTTCATCTGCCACCTTCCTGGCTGACAGAGAGGGGCAGGGCAGGAGGTTCTCCAGACCAGGGTATAGGGTCCCTCTGGTGAGCACAGCGGGAACTCTGTAAGGACCCAGATGCCAGGAGTCCAGAGGGGACAGCTCCCACGGCCAAGGCTCAAGACCAGCCCCCACGCCTGACCACACGCTGGGACCTGTCCCTTTTGTCAGCAGCCTGAGACAGAGCCAGGGGAGGAAGGGATGGCAGGGGGTGCGGGCTCTGGGCAGCTGGGCCTGCACCCAGGGTCACGGCCTCTCCCCGCGCAGCTGCCCCAAAGCACACACGGCCGCCTGCTCCTCGGGACGCGTCCAGGCAGCAGCCAAGCAGGGCCAAGCGCAGGCTAGAGCAGGGGCGCCGCGGGAGGAGGGGCCCCACCTTCGGCGGTCGGCGAGCTCTTATCGTCAGAGGTCCCAGGGCCCGGCTTCTCGGGTCCATCATCGGCGGGGGCCTGCGGGGGAGACTCTGGAACATACACATGAGGCCTCAGAAGGGCCGCCTCGCCCCACCCCACCCCTCCACGGGGGGCAGGGAGGGACCTGGGGCAGGGGTGGGGTGGGGAGACAGGAAGCAGCCCCAGGAAACCTAGAGGCACCGAAGGCAGGTCCGTGATGATGAAGCCGCAGAGGGGACCAGTGTCACCCCTGCTCAACTGGACCCTGACCCCCACCTCAGGGCAAGGAGAGCCAGAGCCGGGGCCAGGTGTGGGGGTCACAGTGGAAACGGGTTCCGGCACTGACGGGCAGGCAGGAGGCCAGGGGCCGAGCCTTGCCAGGGGGATCAGGGGCCATCACTGTCCAGCCCGGAGACACACGCTTTCCTTTGAGCAGGGGGACACGGGCCCTGTGCCTGGATTCTTCTCCAGGCCTGTCCCTGGCTCGTGCATTTCAGCCCGTCACTCACACACACAAAATCTGCCCCTGCAAATCCAAAGCCAAGGAGAGGAGGGGATGTCAGAAGACCCCCTCCTCGCTGACCTGGGCTGGGGGCCCCTTGGAGTCCATTTCAGAGTAGGGATCTGAACCTGTGCCCGGGGCAGAACGCTGAGGTGGTGTTAGGGTGCAGAGAACAGACACCTGGTCTCTGGCAGTCCCCTAGAGCCCAGGAAGGGCGAAAGGGGGTGCTTCTGGCAGCTCCCAGCACCCACAGACTGTCTGCAGCATCTCAGCCTCGGTGCCCCTGCCTGGAGCCTCTGCACGCGAAGGTGCCTCCACCCTCCACCCCACCCGCATCCCAACACCTTCCCCTCCCCAGCCCCTGCCGCTCCTCCTGCACCAGCAGAGAAAGGAGGAAGCCTTGTCAGGTGTGGTATCTGGAGGGGGTGTCACTTGAACCCACAGACACCTTTTAATTCATCAGGTCGCACCTGGACCTCCCTGTCCTGACTCAGCCCCTGCTCCCTGGTGGTGGGAGACAGGGCTCTGACATGGGGCCTTTGTTAGCAGAATCGTCTCTGCCAGCTTTTCTGGAAGGATGCGGCTGAGGTGGCACCTTCTGTGAGCTGACACCCCCCTCCCCACCCATCTGAAAACACCTCGTTCCAAAGTCTTAGTAGCAAGAAGGAATCTGATGAGAACAGCAAAAAGACCCGCGCGTCACTTGCTTTCTTGGGGAGAGTGTTCTCAGGGGAAGTTCTTTGTCTTTTCTCCTGCCAGAGCCCACACAGAAGGGGCGACTCTAATTTTGCACATGTATATGTGTATATGTCACCTATGTACGTACACATCATGTGGGTTTCAGCCGAGAGCTTCTCTCGCACCTTATTTCATGTTAAAGAACTGAATTTTTTTTTTTCTTTTTGGGCCACACCCTGGGATGCTCAGGAGTTACTCCTGGCCATATGAGATGCTGGAGATTGAACCCAAGTCGGCTGAATGTATGGCAAATGCCCTACCCGCTGTGCTATCACTCTGGCCCAAAGAACTGAATCGTTTTGGGTAAACGTACTTTAGGTCACTCAAGACCATAAAATAATTGGACAAAAACTTGCCTTGCTTTACAAATTGAATTTAGTTTTCCCTTCAAAATAGGAGGAGTGGGGAGACCTACTCCTCACCTGAGCTTACGTTAGAAAGATTTTATGTTATAAAACCTTTAAAAATTCTTTTGTTTGTTTGTTTTGGGGTCACATCTGGCAATGCCCCGGAGTTACTCTTTGGGTCACACCCAGTGATGCTCAGGGGTCACTCCTTCCTCTGCACTCAGGAATTACTTCTGGTTGTGCTCGGGGGACCATATGGATGCCAGGATTGAACCCGGGTCGTGCAAGGCAAACGCCCTCCCCACTGTACTATTGCTCGTGCCCCTCAGGGGGTTACTCTTGGCTCTGTGCTCAGCAATTATTCCAGGCTGTGCTCAGGAGACCAGATGGGATGCTGGAGCTCAAATCCAAGTCAGCCGTGTACAAGGCAAGCTCCCTACCCGCTGTACTACCTCTCTGGCCCCTGTGTATGTTTTAGTGATGGGGCAGGTGGCTGTGTCTGCAGGGAACCGTGATGAGCTGGGGACGGAACCTGGAGCTCCCAGATAGAAGGCATGGATCTGTCATGCTTAGGTAGACCCCCATTAATGGGGAAACCAGAGCACTCAGCATCCCCCTTGCATTAATTGGACCATCCAGCCCTCTGCCTCCTGGGCCACAGCCTCCTTGTTAGAAAGGCACATTTTCGAGAGCCCCATTCTGAGTGTTCTTGGCCCATTTCAGTGAAGGCGATCCATCTGTTCCGACGCCCGTGAGCGGCGAGCGAGCTGCAGTGCCCAGCGTGGCCAGCACTGACCTTTCAGGCCACGGTCGGAGTCGCCGGCGTGGTCCTGCAGCACGGAGTAGCCACCCTGGGATGGGAGGTCCTTCCTCTCCCCCATCCCGTACACCGAGGTGTGGTCATCCAGAGAATTGAGCTCTTGGCGGGGATCAGCCATCCTGGTTCAAGGCCCACCTGGGGAAAGGAGACGGGAGCATTAGCTGGAGGGTCTGCCAGGGGCAGAGACGGGCCAGGGGTGCCCGCTCCCCAGCTCAGGCAGACCTCAGTCTCCCGGCTCCTGTGTCCCCCCCCACCCACGCAGACACCCAAGCTCCTCCTGATCCTGGGTGCAGCTGTGCCCATCTCTGCACTTTCCTTTCACTGACAGCATGCCAGGCAGGGCAGGTCTGCGGGCCTGACTTGGCAAACCCAGGGCACTTCTCACCTCACCAGAAGTAAGCGCTGAAGTAAGAGGTTTATTTTAATAAGATGGGGGCGGTCCAGCAGAAAAGGGGGGTACCTGGCGAGGAAAGCACACTGGGCCCTTCCTGAGCAATTTTCTGCTTTTTTTTTTCTTTTTGGGTCGCACCCAGTGATGTACAGGTGATGCAGGCTCTGCACTCAGGAATTATTCCTGGTGGTGCTCGGGGGACCATATGGGATTCTGGGAATCGAACCAGGGTCGGCCGTATGCAAGGCAAATGCCCTACCCACTGTGCTATCACTCTAGCCCCCCATTCTGCATTTATTTTTTTATCTTTCGGCCACAGTGCCTAGGGTCTCCTCTGGGATCTGGAGATTGTATGTTCTGGGGAATGTATGCGGTGCCAAGGATCAAATCTGTGCCTGATATATGCAAGACAAGTGCCCTAGGCACTGCTGGGAAGGGACCAAAATCCTCCCCTGCAAAGGAGACTGGTAAACCAAATTAAAAAAAAATATCTCTTCCACATTGCATCTATTTGATTTTTTTTTCCTTTTTGGGTCACACCAGGCGATGTACAGGGGTTGCTCCTGGCTCATGCATTCAGGAATTATTCCTGGCAGTGCTCAGGGGACGATTTGGGATGCTGGGAATCAAACCCGGATTGGCCATGGCAAGGCAAATGCCCTACCCGCTGTGCTATCGCTACAGCCCCCTATTTGATTTTATTTTTACTTGTTTGGGGGCCACACCTGGCAGTGCTCAGGGCCTGTTTCTGACTCTGTGCTCAGGGATCACTCCTGGCTATGTTCAGGGACAATATGGGGTGCTGGGGACTGAACGCTTCCATGCTAGCTGGAGCCACTTCCTCCCTTCAAACTAGTCACTTTGGGTCTTACTTTTTTATTTTTTCCCCTCTGTTTTTGTTTTTGTGCCATGCCTAGCAGTGCTCGAGGGTTACTCCCAGCACAGTGCTCAGGGGTTGCTCCTGGCCTGTTTGAGGGACAGCACACAGTGCTGAGGAGCTGGTGTGGGACACCTGCGTACAAAGCATATGCTTGGCCCATGGATATATCTGCTAGCCCTGGTGCTATGTTTTATTTCAGAATCCCAGCTGCCTCAGAATCCCACATGGCCTCCCAGTGGCCCTGCCTCCACACATAAAGCCAGACAATGGCGTGGGTCCTGCAGGTCTGTCCACGCTGGTGGCAAAACTTAGCGACACTCTCTGACGCTGAGCATCAAGTGTAGCAGAAAGCCACCTGGCACCCAGCGTCCAGCACCTCACACCCTGCACCCAGCACTCCGCACTCAGTACTTAGAAGCCTACATGTTGCCCACACCCCACACCCAGCACCCAGCACCACAGTTGTGCTCTTGAAGTTGGGGCCGTGAGGCTCGAGGCTCCGGTTGGGGCTGGCAGTGCCCACTGTGCCCAGTGGCAAATAGACTGTGTCCCTGAAAGGCCAGTCCACTGGGGATTGTATGGAGCAGCACAACGACCCCGTGAGGACTTGTTCTCAGGCACAAGAGGGGACACCAGGAAGCCAGGCCTGGTGCTGACCGATCAACTCAGCTGCCCCTGCTGCCCACTCTGAACCATCCTCTGTCCCCCAGAACCATCCTCTGGGGTGTGGGAGGGTCACTCTTCAGGACTCCGGGCCACAGCCCTGTGACCAAGTCCCTCCTCTCTTCCACTCCCCGAATGTCACCCTGACCCGGAGGCGCCCCCCTCCCCTCTGCTCTGGGAGTTTATTCTGGGTGGGCTGAGCAGCCTGTCCTCGTGCTCAGGGCCCTGGGGGTCAGTCTGAGGACAGCAGAAGAAGGCGGTGCTCGAGCCTGGCTGAGAGGCGAGGGACGCTGGCATCCCAGTCGAGGGTCTGCTCCTCTCTCTCCCCGTTGTCTCCTTCCTTCTCCCCCGATGCCCCCTGCCCTGCCCACCCTGCCGCTGCCTTCCTTCCTGGGAGCCTCCAAGGGGGCACCGATCCTGTGAGCCCACGGCCAAGCCAGCCAGGCCCCAGGGCCAGGACGTCCACGCAGACTCAAAGGCACAAAAATAAGCTTGGCCCTGAGGTGAGCGCCCAGCCCGGATGTGTGGTCATCACCAGGCAGATCCCTGTAATCTAAGTGAGTCACACAGAAGAGGAAGTAAACAGCTGCTCCTCCTGCTCCTCTGCCCCTTCCCTCATCTCCGCCCCCCTGTCTGCCAGACCCTGACTCAGAGGCCTCGGAGGAAGGGCTCACTGCAGGGCAGAAGCAGCGAGTCACATTTGGAGCTGGAAAGGAGATGCTTTTGGGGGGACCCTGGTAAAAGTATTGTTTCCGGACCTGAGAAATCGGGATGTAGAGGAGTCTCGGGCCTGTCCTGTTGTGGCCGGAGACAAATGGGGACCTGCAGGGGACAAGGGAAACTGAGTCCTCTGGGGCAGCTCCGGGCCCCAAAGTTACCCATGGGGGTGCAGTCGGGAAAGGGAGAAAAGTGTCTGCAGGGTTGAGGAGGTGAACCTGGGTGCAGAAGGAAGACGGCAGCGGGGGATGAAGGCCGACTTCCTCCCTTCTTGCCCTCACCTTCCTCCCGCCCCTCCCACCCCCCATCCCTCCTTCACGATTAAAACTTATCCAGCAGTGAGGGCTGGAGCGATAGCGCAGTGGGTAGGGCATTTGCCTTGCACGCGGCCGACCCGGGTTCGATTCCCAGTATCCCATATGGTCCCCTGAGCGCTGCCAGGAGTAATTCCTGAGTGCAGAGTAACCACTGTGAATCACCGGGAGTGACCCAGAAAGCCAAAACAAAGAAACCCACAACTTATCCAGCAGAAAAGTAACTGCTTTACTGCGGCCAGTCTTAATGCAACGGCCTTTCACCACACTTGCTTGCAGTGGCCAAACCTTCCAGCTCCAAGACATGCCCATTGCCCCCCCCCCCCCCCCCAAGGCCCTGAGCCCAACAAGCACATCTCCCCTCTCCCCTCTCCCTCCACTTTCTGCCAACCACTCGCTTACTTCCTGCCTCTCTATACATTCACCAATTTGGGGATTTTTTTCGACTTTTGGGTTTTTGGGTTACACCTGGGGGCGCTCAGGGCTAACTCCAGGTTCTGTGCTCAGGGATCACTCCTGGCTGGCGGTGCTTCAGAAGCCCTCTGTGGTGCTAGGGATGGAGCCTGGTCAGCCACGTGCAGGGCAAGCGCCCTACCCACTGGACTGTCTCTGGATCTGGAGGGGCACCTTCTTTTGGTTTGGTTTTATGTTTGGGGGCACACACCATGATGCTCGGGGCTTACTCTGGGCTCAGGATGCCAGGGAGCAAACCCAGGTCGGCAGCATACAAGGCAAACACCCCATCGCTCCGGCCCCAGGAGGGACACTTTTGAAGCAGTCTCCACACTGCCCCTTTCTGAAAGGCCTCCCTGGGGCAACTCAAAAGCCCAGCTTGGCTGCTGCACAGCTTTCCAGGCCAGCTGGGTCGGGGACATGGAACGCGTCATCCCCCAGCCTTCCTGCTGCTATGCTCTGGCAGAGTCACTCAGGTTCCACCATGAGCCAGGGCAACTGCGGGAACACTTTTAGAATATTCCAATGTTTAAAATTTTTTTTTTTTTGTAGGGACCATGAGGCCCAAGAGATAGTACAGCGGGTATGGCTCTTGCTTTGCACACAGCCGACCTGGGCTCAATTCTGGCATCCCATAGGATCCCCTGAGCACAGCCAGGTGGGATCCCTGAGTGCAGAACAAGGAATAAATCTTGAACACTGTTAGGAGTGATCCCTGAGCACAGAGCCAGGAATAAACCTGAGCACTGTAGGGTGGAGTCCCCCCACAAAAACAAAACAAAATAAATAGGGGTCATTCCCAGTGGTGTGGGCCTGCCACCTGGTGTTCTAGAGCTGGGAACTGAGGGCATGCAGTGCTGGGGGTCGGATTCAGGCTCTCGCTGTGCTGAGCAAACGCTCTGCCATCGGTGTGAGGTGTTTAGCCCCATTTCTGGAATACTGGGAGCAGGGAGAGGAGAGGAGAGGGGGAGGGGAGGGGAGGGGAGGGGGAGGGGAGAGGAGAGGAGGGGAGAGGAGAGGAGAGGAGAAGGGAGGGAAGGGGAGGGGAGGGGAGTGGAGGGGAGGAAGTGGAGGGGGAGGGGAGGGGAGGGGAGGGGAGTGGAGGGGAGGGGAGGGGAGGGGAGAGAGAAAGAAAGGGGAGGAGAGAAAGCAAGAAAGAGAGAGGGAAAGGGAGGGAGAGAGGGAGGGAGAGAATGGGAAAAAGAATCTCTGCAAGTGCAAGTAAACAAACAATAAGCGGAAATAGGGTCAAAAGATGACAAGTCCTTGGACCCAGGCTATAAATCAGGTCTCCAGGCAGTGGGGAGAGGAAGCAGTGAACAGACCTCGGATCTGGGGTACTTTGGTGCAGGGACCTTGAACATCCAAGCCAGGGCTGCTGCCATTCTTAACCATGTTACTACCCTACAGTGAAAGATACACATTTAAAAAACTTCTCTTGAGGACTACCACCGGTTAGGTTAGAGGAATCACCATCCCTCTGCCAGACCCTTTGGAGGAGGAGACCGTGGCTCAGAGAGGTTCAGTGCCCTGTTTAGGGTCACACAGCTAGAAAGCAGGGGTGCAGGGTTTGAGTGCAGACCTCTGGGTGCTGAAACAGACCCGTCAGACATCAGTCACCCTGGCCTTTGGACTGTGAGAAATTCAGGCTCTGGGCAGAACCCCAGAGGGGGCCAGGTGGCAGTGAGTGTTAGTGCTCAGATCCCCGCGAGGGGGC